ATGAGGAGGTTGATGCTTGCTCTAAAGATGAGCAGGAGGGAGGGCACTGAATCTGAGGTTCTTCAACCTACAAGAACCAGAAAGCAAGAGACCCTATCTTAACTAAGAGAGGTCAGGAGTAACCAGTGAACACGTTGCAGCCTGCCTCAGCCTCTCATTGGAGAATGGTGCCCTGACACTGCTGGGCAAGTGTCCTGATCTGGGCTTCAGAAACTTTGCATGGCTATCCTGGTTCTCTCTCTACCTCCCTTATAAAGTCATGACTCCTCTATGTGCCTCAAATCCCCTCACATGAGGCTGATGGCCTCTGTCACTCCCAGCTGCCAATAGTAATAACATCAGGAATGACAGCAACAATAACATTAGAACAGTTCATTGAGCATTTTCTAGGAATTGGACTCTGTTGTAGGCAATATGGATTATCTCTTTATTCTCCTACAGTCCAGGAAGCTCCTACTCTCTCATTTTATAGGTGGAGAGAAGATACAGAGAGTAGTGAAGCGACTTGCCCAACATATTCATGCCAGGACTGGAACCTGTTTCTCACAGAGTCCCTTCTGTGCTTATAATACAAACCGGGCAAGTGGCCACTTGGAAGGTGGGTGTGAAACTCACATCTTCCCTGCTGGTGCCATCTGAGAGTGAGCCTCTAGTCTTTCTGGCTCTCTGTGTGCTCCCTTTCAGGTTCTGTGAAGACCCATGGGTTGCTAGGAATGCACTTGGCATTCTTCCTCTACTATCATGGTTCCCCGAAAATAAGACATCCTCCGAAAATAAGAACTACTTACAGGTTTCCTTCTGAGTGAAATATAAGTCATCCCCCAAAAAATAAGACCCCTCTAGGCAAACCATGAAAGATTTGGTTCACTGATTCTGAAAGAAATGGAGTCACAAGAAATTCACCAGGAAATTCAGGAATTGGATTGTTATGATGATGTTCTAGAAGATGATGACATGATTGTCATTGAATAAATGAATAAATTCTTGATACTGTAGGATTCACAGTTTTTCTGGTTTGTGTTGACAACTACCATACTACTGAACTGTATACAGGTAATAAATTTCCTTTATTTTCATTTAACTATAAATGTGTACTGTATTCTTCTTCATTGAAAAATAAGATATCCCCTGAAAATAAGATCTAGCGCATCTTTGGGAGCAAAAATTAATATAAGACACTGTCTTATTTTTGGGGAAACAGGGTAGTTTAGTCTGAGCCTGGATTCCCCCTTTGACAGTCACTGCCTAGAGGAAAGTCTGATGGGGTTCAGCAGAGCAGGGTTCAGAAGGAGATCGACAGCAGGCAGAGGTCTACTCACCTGATTTCAAGGCTGGCTCTCTCCAGTCTGGGCCAAATAGATTTTCCTGGTTCATTTGCTCCCAGGTCTGCTGGGCCACATCCCAGGCCTGCTGCTCCCCATATAGAGCCACCAGTTGTGAAGCCACCTCCATACCACCCACATTCTCTGGTTGAGTTGGGATTGCACCAGGAGAGTGCTGGCAGAGATCCTTATGAGGCAGGCACAGCAGGAACTCCTTCAGCTGTTCCTTGCTCATACACTCTAATATCTGGGCCAGTTGCTCCTGGACTCCATCAGCCATCTCTGCTGCACTCACCTGCTCTGCTGCATTGGTTGTCTCAATCTCAGCTTGGAAGGCCTCAGGGATGTCCACTGGGGAGAAGGTGGGTGGTGAGGGGATCAGGCAGGCAGAGAATAGCAGTCAGCCATGGTCCCTACCATCTCCTAATGCCAGATTCCGAGTGGGGTTGTTACTCTTTTCCTGGTAACTCTTATTCAGCACTAAGAATCCACTTTTGTAAATCCCAGGATTTCTGCCAATAGGCAGGAAAATCCATAAAAGGAGGAGTCCTGAGGAAGTGGGGAGATATTGGCAGAGGTCAGGTTACTGAGGTGTTGGGTTGGGGGCAGTCAGAAGAATGAGCTGTTGGAGATGGGAGGATGGGATCTGAGGGACACTCACTGTTCTGTGCTCCTCAATCTTCCCCCAAGTGGGTCCTGGAGTTCTGGAACACCTTGAGCTTTGATGCTGACAGGATGTAGAGGAGGGGAGAAGCCCTGCCTAGGGTGCTTTTAGATCCCAGGGTGGAGCACAGAGCTGTTCCACCCAGGTCTCTTCAGAATTCTCCTGGTCCTGGGCAACCAATGGGGAAGAAAGGCCTCATCCAGCCTGAGCAGAGACAGGAGGTGTGGCCAGGGAAGAGGTGGGGCCAGGCAGGCTTGCAGGGCTTGTACTACTTAGAGCCAGACATCTACAGGCAGGCCATGGGCATGAGTTCTGGTAGGGTACTGCGCTAGTGCATGAGACAGATCAGTAAACCCAGTCAAAAGGAATAGGGAAACTGAGACAGATATCTGAACAAATTGGCAGAGCACTTTACAGCAAATACAGAAGGTCACTAGAGATAACACCTAAGCCTCAGTTATATTTCAGCTCCAGGCCCAGAAAAATAGAAAAACCAGGTGGGTGATACCAGGACCAGGTGCAATGACTAAAGACCCCCTGACCTTGAACTGACCAGTCAGTAGAGATCAGGACCCTGAAACAGCACACCTGGAAAACGGATGAATATTCTGCTGAAACCCTCCCCTGAGAACTTCTTTAAGAAGTTCTTCTGCAAGAGAGATAAAAATTCAAAGGACCCAGCATGTACTCTCCCTCTAGGGAACGCACAATGTCTTTCCCTTCTCTCTCTTTCCCCCCCACAGGCACACACCTCCTAAACCCTAAGGGATCCCACAAATTTGCAACCAGGGAGTCATGGGCAGCAGCAGCTCTCCCAGGCTAACCCTCTGAACCTGTCTCCCTTCTTTCAGACTTCAGAGTGAGCTAAAGCAGCCCTGCCTTGGCTCATTTATTTCCAAAAACATTTTCAGAGAAGCAAAACAGGCCAGCCTAGGTCTCTCCTGTTGATTCTTCTATGCTAACCCCTGTTTACTGTTCCCAGCTATAATAAACACACCCTTATAGTCACTTGGACTCATGTTGTGAAAACTTTTTTACAAGAAGTCAAGAACACACATACTGGCTGTCCTTATGCCAACCTGCTCAGGGCCAGGTCCCCTGTCCAATAACATCTGGTGCCCCAGATGGGACCTTGTTTCCTGAGGCTATGGAGCCCAGCTGGCTCACTTTTTATGACTAGGATTGTCTTATAGAGTGGCAGGATTCCAGAGGAGCCCACCCAGAACCACATCATAGACTCAGACCCATGCTAGGTACCAGCTGGGGCCCTCTGGGCTCTACATGCTCCTCATTTTGCATTGGGTGAGTTTCTTTGGGATTCTGGACCTCCCACTCACCCCTATTTTAAGGTAAGATGCTCACTTTCTTTGATCTGTTTTTTTAAAATCCTTGTGGTAGAGCTAAATGTAGATAGCGCCTGGGAAGGCACATGGGCATTTCTTTAATTATTGTCAGCTGAAACCAAGGTGATAGGCAAAGCCAAGCCCTGGGAACAGGCTTTGCCAAAACAGTAAGAGTGTTTTGACCCAGATGTCTGAGAATGTGACTTTGATATGTAAATCCAGTCAAGCACCAGGAATGCTAAGCCCTACTCAATGATTCAAATGATCTCCTTTGATCCAAAGTTTTTGGTGAAAATTCCAGGTATTAGGGGTATAAAATAAACTTGCTGTATGGGCTCTGGGTCCCTCTCCATCCATCAGAGAGTATGCTGGTCCCACCAGGCTCCCAGCTTTATTCTTCCATGCTTCTTAGGTTCTTAAAGGAGAGCTTTGGCCTTTAGATGAAGAAAGAAACTCTCAGACATATTGGCAGTTTTCTTTATTTCTCCTAAGATAGCTGAGGACATTAATTTAAGAATCAAATCATATACCTGCCACCTTCAGCAGAAAACTGGGGACACAGGATTACACTGAAATCAACAAGTTCATTGTGTAAGCTTTCTTGATTTTAGAGGTGGAGAGCCAGAGTCTTGGGTGCCGAGACCTGATGATATCATGCCTCTGCACAAGCTTACCTGCCTGGGATCAGAAAGCAACCACAGTTACATGGATCTTAGTAAAATAGTACCCTTCTCAAGTACAGGTGTCTTGCTAGACTTCACTTCCATTAGAGGAACAACTCCAGGAGCTGGGATACAAAGTTCTAAGAGTTTGGATCCAAAGTTCAGTAGTTTCCTCATTCAGAAGAAGGTCCTGTCAGAGTTGGCCAAATGTATTGAACATGTTAGCAATGTGACCTGAGCAAAAAAGTAATGAGTTCAGGAGGTGGCACCTCTGCACATTATTATGAAAGAACTGGGGCTTCTGTAGGAGCACAGGCAGTGGTACCTGAATCAATGTAAGGCTAAGAAATCAATTTCCATAGCAGGAGTTATCTAGGCTAAGATTGGGATCCATTCCCCCTGTAACCTCGATCTTCACCTCTCTGTGGCTCTAGGAATCCAGTAGACTTCAGAATCAACAAGGCACAATTTGGTCTAATAGAAAAACCCAGCTCAACACAAACAAGTGAAAAATAAATCTGTTTTTGCCCATACTCCTAGCCATTCCAAACCTTCAAGATATCCATTTCCACTGTCTGTCTTTAGCCAGAAGTGACTTTTTTGCATGTGAATGGCACAGGGAGGGCTGTGGTGGCCACTGGACAAGGCTCTTGGGTGAGGCTTCTACAGGTTGGAAGACATCATGCCAGCTCCAGAGACACATTCCTCCAGAGGCTGCCATTCTACTTGGACAATTGGTCTATGTGAGCCAAGGTAGGCAAGCTGGAAGCCCATGTGGCAACAGTGAGCATGGACACATGATTCCCAGGAAAGGCATCATCAAAGCACAATAATGTTAGGGGTAGAAGGCAACTCAGTAGGAAATGTGTTTGCTTATCTATCTATCTATCTATCTATCTATCTATCTATCTATCTATCTATCCTCACTGAGGACATGATTAAAGAGAAGCCCGAGGGAGGGGGATAAGAGAGAGAGATACATAAAGTGATGTGAGAGAATAACATCAGCAACATTATACATTGCTTTCCATACATGTCATGACTGGGAATCAAACCTGCAACCCAGGTATATGTCCTGACCAGGATTCAAACCAATAACCCTTCCATGCACAGGATGACACTAACCAACTGAGCCACTCTTGCTGGGTGTTGGCAATGTGTTTAGACTTGTAGAAACCTAGACCCAAAGCATGGACAGTCAGAGCCAGGACTCATAAGCAGGTGTTCAGACTGCAGCTGCCGAGCTTGTCAGTAGCCCCGATAGTCTCCTCCACTGCGTCACTTCTCCCAGAGTTCCTCAATTAGGTGAGGATGGGTCTCCTTCAGGGCTTGGAAGAGCTGATCTTTGCAGGCCCAGTCCCAGGACTTGCTAAAGCTGAACAGCGTCCTCATCTTGTCTGGATTGATGGGCTCAGCCCGCACCTTCTCATACTGTTCCTCGCTCAGCACCTGTCCATGCAGCTTGTCTAGGACTGCGTCCACCGAAGTCACTCGAGCCACCAGCTGTGCCCGATGTTGGTCCACAAAGTGTAGTGAGTCTGGGGCATCTGGGGGTGAAGGTGAGGCTGACAAGGAATAAAGAAGGGCTCTCACCACAGCTTCTACAGGCATCACCACCTGAAGTTCTGCACTCACCTGATCTGTATCGTTGGCTCCTCCCCCACCTATGAAAACATTGGACCAGCAGAAAGGCACCTCTGCCTACCTTCAAATACCTGATGGAGGCATATTAGGTTGCCCATGGAAGGTGCCAGGGCCTCCGTGGGCAGAAATAAGGGTGATGGGAAAGGACTCTGCCTTGGAGTACACACCACTCTCCAAAGACCAATCCCTTGTGAGGTGTGAAGAGTACTCTCTTTCTTTCCTCCCTCCCTCCAGGACCATGTAGCACACTCCAGAACTGCCATGGCTCCTGTGGTCTCTAACCCTGTTACTGACCTGCTAGGGCTGGAGAGACCAGAGTAGCTTCCGGTCTGAGGTCTCCTGGAGGAAAAGAGATATGAATAAGCATCAGTATCAGTGGTAGTTATTAACACAAGCAATAGCCTTAAAAATCCTGCTCATGTCTCACTTCTGAGATTCTTTGATTCCTAGAAGTGGCTACAGACTAATTCTGATAGAAGTTGGAGTAAGCATTGTAAGGGCCCTTAGAGATTATATAAGGGAATCCCTTCCATAAGCATATGGGGAAACTTAGTCCCAGAAGCCATGATCATAGACAGAGAGACACAGAGAGAGGGTAGTTTCTTCCTCAACAATGGGCAGACATGGTTTAATTTAATCTTGGCCTGAATGAAACCCAGGTAGAGAAATAACCGAGTCCTTTACAATATAGCTTCCACTATGAGATCTCCTTATTTTGAACAGAAGGCTACCTCTTTTTCCTTGGTCTCTAGACTCACACTGTTTTGAATTTTGATATAAAAATCAACATCAAGAAAAACTTAGCAGTAGGGTAATGGATGAATTTCAATAGGAAACAGAAACAACAACAAAGGAAGAGGGTTAAAAAATTACTTACATAAGCAGAGAAAGGGGGAGTCCACAAAGCCCCTGTGGACACTGCCTGAGCTTTTGAGCAGACCCAACTTCAGTGTGACCTGACAGTGTGGGAGGGAAGCCAACCAGGGGATCTCTTGGTGTAGTGCTGGGAGCAGCATTTCTCTGGGATGGAGGGAGGAAGGTGCTCCCTGTCCTCCACAATGACTGGTCCTTATACTATTTATAAGGACCACAGCATGAGATATGCACATACATCATGTATTTAATCTTTCTGACAATGAGACTCAGATGCATTAAGTAATTTTCCCAATATTACCCAGCAAGTAAGAGCCAGAGTAAGATTCAAATGTGGTCTGATGCTGGGGCTAATTAGTCCACACAAGTGATTGCACCCAAGCCAAGACTGAGTCGCAACCATTCTCTTCCTCTGCACTGGGAAACCTGTTTGTAACAGCTCAGAAGGCAGATTCACATATTTCAACAGTGAACATGGGCTGGTTTTTCTAGAAGGACCTTTTTTGGGGATTACTTCTTGAGAGTATTAGTGCTGCTTTAAGAAACTGTAAAATTGCTCTAACCAGTTTGGCTCAGTGAATAGAGTGTCAGCCTGCAGACAGAAGTATCCCAGGTTTGATTCTGATCAATGGCATGTACTTTGGTTTCAGGCACATCCCCAGTAGGGGATATGCAGGAGGCAGCTGTTTGATGTTTCTCTTGCATTGATGTTTCTAGATTTCTACCCCTCTCCCTTCCTCTCTGTAAAAAGTCAATAAAGTATATTAAAAAAAAGAAACTGTGAAATTGCATTTATTCCTGCAAGTTCATTATTTGATTCCTATTGTATACTTTGAAATATCAGTGATCCAAGGTAGTGTATGTGCTATTGCCATAACTGGCTTAATTCATACAACCATATAACCAGCTGGTTATTTTCTCATCTCATGTTCAATCTATTATGAGAAACTTTGTCAAATGACTTGAGGGTTTCAAAATCTGTTAAATCAAGGGCAGTGTAGAGACACCATGGTGTATGGGAGAGGGAATGGACCTTAAAGTAACATTAACTTGAGTTCAAATTCTAATCATGCCAACTGTTATAAAACTAGAAAAAGTCACTTCCCTGGGCTATTTCTTCCCATCAGCAAATTGTGATCTCTCTCTCTCTCTCTCTTTGTCTCTCTCTCTCTCTCTCTCTCTCTCTCTCTCTCTCTCTCTCTCATCTCTCTCACACACCACACACAGAGAGGCAGACTCTTTAATCGACTTTCTGTTCCCCACCACAGAGCTCCCTGGCCTTGTCTTGACTTTACCTGATTTCACCAAGGCCTCCCATACCACAGTCTCATCTTTGCTTTTAATCTGCAGCCGAATCCCTGGCCCCAAATGACCAACGTAGAACTCAGTGAAGAGCTGGGGTTCCCCAGGGCTTCGATAGCAGAGCTCCAGTTCCTGTAGAAAAAGTGATGATGTGAGAAGCCACCATTCATCCCACAAGTGAGGTGTCTCCCCATCTGACACCTTCTTGGCCCTGCTCATCCCCATGGGGACCCTTGAATGATCTCTACTGAAATTAATGCCACTTCAGGTACTGCTCTTTTCATCATTTGTCACAAATCCTAACTCAGAAGGAAGAAGATATGGCCGGATACTTCATGAATGAGTCAGGACTCTTCTCTAATATTTGGTTTCAAGATGGAGGAGGTGGAGAGAGAAGAATCTTGTGAATTGACCCATGTCCCGTGTGGTTCAGGATTCAGGCTCACACATCTTAATCGAGATCCTTCTACCTCCATCTTGAATCAGATTCTGTGGGAAGCCGCCCATTGTCTTTAATAGCAGAGAGGTGTGGACAAGGATCCTGGAAGGCTGGTGAACCTTGAGCTCTGGCAAAAGTCAAGGCTGTACACCCACTGTTTAGTCCAGACAATGGCAGCTGAAGCAACTTCCCTAAAAGACAGTCATGTAAATCCTTACTTATAAGATAATCTGCCTATTATTGGCAATTGCCTGCCTACAGGCTTCCCAATTTGAATAAAAGGATGGCAAGGCCAGAGCCCAAGCTGAGTCCTTCCTCTGGAGTTGGGCTCCCTCCTGGTCCCCCAATATTTCCAAATTATTATTTTTTGTCTTGTTTCTTTCATTTGCATGTGTCCCCTCTTCCAGAGCCTGAATCCTGAACCACACAGGACATGGGTCAATTCACAAGATTCTTCTCTCTCCACCTCCTCCATCTTGAAACCAAATTCACATGTCTCCAGCCCAAAGCCTGTCTTCTCACTTTGAATCAATAGAAAATTTATATTCATCCCCTTTGCTTAATCACATTCAAGATGACTCTTGATTCCCAACTGTCTTCCAAAAATGTTCTCTTCCCATTTTCCCTACACTCAGTAAATGGCACCACTACCCATTGAGCACTCACATTCCACATTCAGACAACATCCTTAACTCCTACCTTTCACTTTCATAAGCCAAGTACCATTGGCTGTACCTGCAACATATACCCTCAATCCATCAATTTATCTTCATCTCAGCTGCTTCTTCCTTATTTAAGGCATCTGCAGCTCCTGCCTGTACCATAGCAACAGTCTTTGTTTTCACTCTTCTCTTCTTATCACCCATTCTTACCCAGCAGCCAGAGGCATCTCTGTTAAACTAAAGCAGGTCTTGCAACAACCTCTGAGATCTTGTCATTGTACTTTAAACAAAATCCAAATTCCAGATCAGGGCAACATAGTTGATGGGCCCTGGGGAACTTTTGTGTCTTGTGTAACTCCACTTTACTTCTCTCTTTGCTACACTCATTAAGCTCTGCTGCACTGTCCTCCTATTTGTCATGTGGAAGGATTAACGGTACCTGCTCCTCTGTTCTCTAGAACTGAAGTGCTCTATTACAAATATTCACCTACCAGGACCCTTCTTGTCACTCAGGTCTCAGGTATATGTGACTACTCAGCAGCTCTTCCCCTGACCACCCAGTATAAAGTAGTCCAAGTCACTCCCTTAAGTGGCATAGTTGTGTTTTCCTCACAGCACTTCATGGTTCTTGGTCCAATTATTTTATTAATGTAGGTCTCATACACCAGAATGTCATCTTCCCAAGGGCAGGGCCTTACTGTCTTGTTCACTGGACTATCACAAATGAAGACAGAACTTGGGTGGCACTGGATAATGTATGATGAATGACTGAATTATCCCTTGTTAAGATGTGACACAGCAGGGAAATCTAAAGGATTCATGTTTCTCAACTCAAAAGATACATAACATTTCCTCATTTCTCCTGGAAATGTTTTCCATCTGTCATTGTTACTTAAAGTGGTCCAAGGACTCATCTCAGAATAGAAGAAGAAAGGATTGACTCTACTTCAACAGCAGACTACCATTCAGGTGAAACTGATTCACAGCAGCAAAATCTTGGCAATGGTGAACATTTGGATATCATGGGGAATGTCCAGGGGCTTGACATCATTCGCTTTTGGTGAAAAGGGGAGACTGAGAAAGAATGAGAGAGAGCCCCTGATATCCAGACCTAATGTAATGCTCACAGCTAGACCTCATTGTTATTACAAACTAATCTGATGCTGCCATCTCTGCTGTGTTGTCCTCCTGTTGGACATATACAATCTCACAATCGCCAAACATGTCCCCACTGCAAAATTGACTATTTCAGCAACTATATCTTCACAATTGTGGTGCTTGTCCTTCTTAGAGAGAAAATGTGTAGAGGTTCCCAATCATAGAATTGCCCTACCTCCTTAGAATACCAGATCTAGAGAAAAATCTCCATTTCCTTAGATCTTCTCAGAAATTACCCAACTAAGGCCCAAATCCTGAAATAGGTTCTTTCTGAGTCTCTTAATCTGAGGGTGTCCTATGGTTCTCACTGTTGTGGGTTCTCTCACTGAAATGAGTAACAACCCCAATGTCTTTAGCTACAAGTGTGCTCCTGATTGTTTCGCTTGGAGAGTATCGACACACTATAGCCAAACACTTCTCAGTTCCCTTAAGTCAGTCCCCATTTTTGTTCCTATCCTGAATGTAACCCTTTCTCCTACTATTGATTTTTCTCCCAATTTTTAAAAAAATATATTTTATTGATTTTGTACAGAGAGTAAGGGAGAGAGATAGAGAGGTAGAAACATCGATGAGAGAGAGTCATCGATCAGCTGCCTCTTGCACACCCCCCTACTGGGGATATGCCCGCAACCAAGGTACATGCCCTTGACCAGAATCGAACCTGGGACCTTTCAGTCCCCAAGCCGACGCTCTATCCATTGAGCCAAACTGGTCTCGGCCTTTTCTCCCAATTTTTGAAGGATTCCCGCTCACTCCAAATCCCACTCATTATCTGCCAGTCCCCAATTGGGCCTGTCCCTTGGAAAGCTCTAAGACCCGACCCACAGATATTCCTAAGCATGACCTCTGGCCTTAGGGAGGAGGGATATCTGGACTGCTCACCTCAGGCAGTATTTCCATTTTCTGTGAACCAGACACAATATATCGGGAGCCTATGTGGAGCGGAGTCTGCGGGGGTGGCTTGTGTATTTGCACAAACTGGAACTTCTTTTTTTCATTATCTATGGCCTAAGGAGCATAAAGAACACTGATCAAGGGAGGAGGGCCTCTGGATCTCCCTCAGAGATTCTACTTTATGGACTCTGATCTGAACAAAGAGAGGTGGGGCTTCACATGTTGATATTGGTGGGAGGGGGGAAGGCAACACCACCCATGAACTCTCCCTTCTTCATCCTCCATAACTGCTACATAGAGATCCCTATCCTTGGCTGGTGTTATGCTCAGAGTGGGAATTGGAGCATTGCTAGAGAATAAATGAGAATGGAGAAGTATGTATACCTCTGGGCATGGAGCCCTTTCATCCTTCTGACTCCTGGAAAGAGATTGCAAAAGCGTGTCCAGCAATGAGTAATGGAGTAGTGAGCCCAGTTGGGGGAGGCTTTGGGAACCTAGGAGAGTAGTCCCTGTCCTATCCTTATGCCCACTTGACCCATCCAGGGAATTTCTGGATGCATGTTATGTCTTTGTCAGCCTACCCAGGCCTGGTCTCCTATTAGAGTACCTTCTCAATGGTGCAGTCACTGGGGATTAGGTAGAGGTGAAAGTTGATTTCCTCAGGATGGAGGCGATGGTAGAGCAGCACATTGGAGATGACAGGGATGTTCAGGAAAGAGTGGATCTTCCTCAGTAGAACTCCTATGGGGGAGAAGCTGGGGTTCTCAAGGACTATGTAACGTGGCTCCACCCTTGTTGGCTTCTCCAGAAGTATCCCATCCTCTTTAAAGTGGGCGACTTGGAAACATGAGATGTCCACATGTTCCTCTGTGAAAAAATGGATTTGAGAGATGAGTACTTAGTGCCCTCACTGAGTCAGGCTTGACTGAGGCAGTGTGGTCCTTGGCCAGGAGGTTCAGTGGCCCTGCTGGGGGACCCAGCAGGGGAGGCAGTGTGCCTGTGTCTGGGGCCTTTTGGGGTTGTGGTCAATAGTTTCTCTCTGGTTGGAGCACCGCTGGAATCTTCTTACATCAAACTTATACACAGGCCCAGGTCCTTGATCTGGGAAAGATAATGACCCCATGGTTACCTGTGTTACTGTGTATTCTGTAACTCCGAGGGCCATTAATGCTGGCAGGTGTCTCTCCAGGCAGATAGAAACAAGAAGAATGAGCGATGGAAATGGAGTGACCAAGGTAATGCACATTTGTTGTGTTTGATCACCCACCATGTTCAGATTCTTCTTTTTGTGAAGAAACTCCTCCTCCATCATTGTGTGGGTCTTGCCAAAATACCAGCTGGTCCTCCCACTCGGGAAACTTGTGACACAGGTGTGTGTGTGTGACCAAGGCTTGACCAAATGGATGCTCCTAACCAGGGCCTTGATACAGAGGTGATGAAGCACAGATGAAAAGACAGAGATTCTTTTGGCAGCAGCAATGGGGTCAAGAGATTAGTAGCCACCATGGCAGGAGGGCCTTACAGTGGCTGTGTCTGCCCTAGAGGTCTCTCTCTATTTTTCCTGTTTGGACCTTGGCTGTGTTCTTGTTTTCCCAACAGTCTTTGGTCACTGCTTTTTTATTTTTTTTCTCTGTAAGACTATTTGCCTAATTGTTTCTTAAGTCTGTGAGCTACTCAATATCTTTTTAAACATATCTTTTCTGCCCAAATTAGCCTTAGTCTGCATGGGCACCAATCAGTATATGTAGATTGACTTAATACCAGGAGGAGCCTTGGAGATGGCTATTAGCTTTACTAATTTATCAAATACTTAAAAATATTTTAAAATATATTTTTATTAATCCTCATCCAAAGATATTTTTTCCCATTGATTTTTAGAAAGTGGAGGGAAGGGGAGAGACAGAGAGAAACATCCATGTAGGAGAAACACATCAATTGGTTGCCTCCCACTTGTCTTAACTGGGGCTGGTGATTGAGTTTGCAACTGAGGTACATGCCCCTGACCAGAATCAAACCTGAAACCCTTCAGTCTGAGGGCTGGTGCTCAAACTACTGAGCCAAATGGGTTAGTATATTAGTTGCCATTTTTGCATGAAAAATAGTATACCACCTGACAAAATACAGAAGTATTAACCTCTGATCTCACTAAACAGTGTAACTATTATTTTCATCTTCCCCTTTTCCATTAGTCTTTCTCTGTAGCAACACCTTTTCATATTTCCACTTTGGTCATGTGACTTTGCCTCCTGGTTTAAATTTTCCTAAGCGCCTGTGGGCCCAGGGCTGTTAGGAACATTCTCAGTAGAACGCCTATGGGGGAGAACCTAGGGTTCTTCAGGACTATGTTATGTGGCTCCACACTGGTTGGTTTCTCCATGAGTATCCCATCCTCTTTAATGTGGGCCACTTGGAACCAGGATATGTCCACATGTTGCCCTGAAAAGAATAAATTTGAAAGGTGAGCATTTGGTGCCCTCACTGAGTCATGTATGCCTGATGCAGCGTGGTCCTTAGGCATAGGCTCAGTGGCCTATCTGGGGAACCCAGCAGGGAAGGCACCATCCAGGGTCTGGGTCCTTTTGGGGTTGTGGGCAATAGTTTTTTGAAAGTGGAAGAACTGTGAGAAGCCACTCAAGACAAACCTTTACTATAGCCTAGCTTCTCCATATTTTTTATCTATGGAATTTGGCTGTGTTCTTGGCTTCTCAGCATTATTGGGTCAGGTCTTCTTTTCATTTAATGTTTGTGTCCAATTGTTTCTAAAGCTTATGAGCTGCTCAACAATATTCTTATACATCCATTTTCTGCCCAAATCAGCCAGAATTGGTTTCTTTGATTGCAGCCATGTGTGGACATTGTCACCACAATAGAGAGCTTGAGGGATGAAGGCTGGTAGTGGGAGATACACTGGCCTAAGTGTCAGGAGTCCTGGCTCCATCCCTGTGTTGCCTGGCAATTGTTGCAATGCAGGCCATTTCTGGGCAGCACAGGCCCTCGGTCTGCATGGGTTCCAATCAGCACATGGCTGACTGATTTAATCCCAGGAGCTGCTGTGGAGAATACAGCTAAAGTTTTCTCATTTATTAATTCCTTTGTGTGTGTATGTGAAAAATATTTAATAATATCATAGTGGTGAACACTACCTGACAAAATGCAGAAAAATTTACATCTGATCTTACCAACTATTATTATCATCTTTCCCTTTTCTATTAGTCTTTCTCTGCAAGCAACACCTTTTCATTTTGGCCATGTAGCTCTGCCTTTCCCAAGCTGGTTTAAATAGCCCCAAGACTCTGTGGACCTTTCTAATGACTGCAGTACTTGATCCCTCCTAGTGGATGTGGCATCCCTAGTTCACTGCTTCTTGTTTTAGTGTTGAGGTTGCTTCTACCTTTTTGCCATGATAGATAGTCCTGCAATGCACATGTTTTTGCAGGGGACTTTTCTGTTTCCCTTGGGCTATTACCTTGAATTGTAAGTCCCAAGGTATAAGAAAGTGTGTGAAAGGATGTGAGCAATTCTATGACTTGCCAGGTTTTGCCAAATTGCTTCTCCAACAGGTGGTGCACTTTGCACTGCCTTGGTGGCACCAATTGGTGACATCAATTGGATGATGTCACCTCGCCCTCCATAGAACTGGAATATCCTCACATGTCAGTGTCAGATGGGGGAACTGAAACTCCTGGAGGGAAGTGCTTTTTTGAAGTTCACGAGTCAGCTCCAGCCCTGGGCTGAGATCCCTGCTCTGAGACAGTAATTCACTGCACTTAACCTCTGTGCCACACTAAATTTGACTGTATTTTGGATGGTGCTATGTGTGTATCCAACTTGCCTTTTTGCTAAGGTGACCAGTTGTCCTGGTTTGCCTAGGAATGAGAGGGTTAAGAACTACACGTAGGACCTCACCAATGAGGGTAAAAAGCAGCTAGTGCCAAATTCCTAAATGAGGCCACTATTAGTCACTGGGGTCATTGTTTCCAGGACAACAAGAAGCTTCAGCCCAGGCAGCAGACAACAGGGATTCCTAGGGTATTGGTTTCCTGTCTGAGCTCAGAACATTGAGCATTGGATGGTTGGTTTCGGCCTGATCCCCTCAGGCCTTGCCAAGGGACCCCACCAGTGCACAAATCTGTGCACTGAGCCTATAGTATTATTATATTTAAAATTGTTTTTCTTGAAATATTAATGTTTGTTGTATGTAAATGGCTAATTGTTTTGTATCTACAAATAGTAGATTTTTTTGATATATTGTGAAAAAAATAAATGTAATAAAAAATAATAAAATGTCTATTTTACTTACCTTTTAAACAATTATTTTTCTGATACAATTCTTTTTTTTTTTTTTTTAGTAAATCTTTATTGTTCATATTATTACAAACATTCCTCATTTTTTTCCCCCTCCATTGCTCCCCTCCACCAGGTTTCCACCCCACCCTCTGCCCTTTCCACACCCCTCATTGTCCTCATCCATAGGTGCACAGTTTTTGTTCAGGCTCTTCCTGCACCCCCCACTCCTCTTTTCCCTGAGAATCATCAGTTCACTCCCCTTCCGTATCTCTGATTCTATTATATAAACCAGTTAATATTGTTCATCAGGTTTTTTAATTCCCTTGGCTTTTAGTTTCACTTGTTGATAGTTATGTATTTGTTGATCATAATTTTTATCTATATCTTCTTCCTCTTCCTAAACAACCCCTTTCAGCAATTCATATAATTCTGGTTTGGCAGTGATGAACTCCTTTAGCTTTTTTTTTTTTTTTTTTTTTTTTTTTTTTTTTTTTTTTTTTTTTTTTTTTTTTAGTGAAGCTTTTTATCTGGCCTTCGATTCTGAGTGATAGCTTTGCGGGGTAGAGTATTTTTGGCTGTAGGTTCTTGTTATTCATCACCTTGAATATTTCTTGCCATTCCTGTCTGGCCTGCACGGGTTCTGTTGAGAAATCAGCTGATAATCATATGGGAGCTCCTTTATAGGTAACTACCTGTTTCTCTCTTGCTGCTTTTAATATTCTCTCTTTGTCTTTTGCTCTTGGAATTTTAATTATGATGTGTCTTGGTGTGTTCCTCTTTGGATTCTTTTTGTTTTGGGGTTCTGTGTGCTTCCTGGACTTGTAGGTCTAATTCTTTCACTAGGTGGGGGAAGTTTTTTGTTATTATTTCTTTCAGTACGTTTTCAGTATCTTGCTCTTTCTCTTCTTCTGGGACCCCCATAATTCTGATGTTGGTTTACTTGAAGTTGTCCCAGAGGTTTCTTACATTATCTTCAACTTTTTGGATTCTCTTGTCTTCTTGCTTCTGCGGAGGAGTATCTTCTGGCTCTTTATGTTCCAAATCTTTGACTTGATTCTTGCGATCTTGATTCTTTTTTTAGGACTTTGTATGATATTTTTTATTTCAGAGAATGTATTCTTTATTTCTTGTTGATCCCTTATTATTTCTTGTTGATCCTTTATTATTTCTTATTTATCCCTTATTATTTCTAGTTGATCCCTTTTCATATCCTAATAGGTCTTATTGACCTTTTCTAGGAAATTCTTGAAAAACCTTATAAGCGTGGTTTTGAACTCTATATCCAGTTGCTTCTTGTCCTCCATTTTTTTTGTTTGTGATCTGTTTCCTTTTCTTTGCATTTTCACAGCTTCCCTGAATTGGTAGGGTGGCTTTGTGTGCTAAGGTGTCCTATATGGTTCAGTGGGTCAGCCATCCAGTTACCTGAGGTGGACAGTCTTGGTATAGCCCTTTGTGGCTTGTATGTGCAGTCTTATTGTTAAGCCTTGCTTCTTGTTGGTATCACTGGGAAGCATTGATCTCCAAGCCAATTGGCTTTGAGGATCAGAAGTGTCTCAGCAAGGAGGGTTTCTGTATTCTGCTTGGATGGGGTGGAGTCTCGGGGTGGCACAGCCAAGCTTAGGTGAATCCCGAAGATTGGTTGCAGGCGTGCGCACCTTTTTGGTATAGGTGCAGACAAGCTTTAGATTCTTGTCTGCCCCTCCCTAGGAGAGTCCTATTTGTGGCGAACGAGAAAGCTAGCCACTGGAAGGGCTTCTGTGCTCCGCTTGGATGGGGCGGAGTTTCGGGGTGGTGCAGACAAACTTTGGTCAGCCCCTCCCTACGAGGGTCTGGTTTCTGAGTCCCGCAGTAATGGCCACTGGCTTCACACACCTCCGAGAGATCTCTGCCCACTGCCTGATAGTCTGGCCTCTCCCTGTCTGGGGCTGTCTATCAGAGCAATAGGGTGGTTCTGTTTTCCTCCTGCACAAGAAAGCTAGCTGTGCATTAGCTGTCCACCCTCTCAGGGCTCCACAACCAAGCCAGTAGTGAAGTCTGCTGCCGCCTTGTCGTGCGCACAGTTCTCTGCACCTTCACAGTTCCTGAGGTTCAGTGTGGCTTCTCTCTCTTTCCCAGATGGTAGAGCCTCCTCTCAGCCAGTCGCCTGATGCTTCAGGGCAATGTTTCCTTTGTTTTTCAGTTCTAAATTCAAATTTGTTGTGGTAGGCTGCATTCGGGTGTCTACCCTATGCCTCCATCTTGGTTTCTCCTCTGTTATAATTCTTGATTGGCAATTATTTCCTCATTACTGTGAGGATATCATTCTATTATCTTCTACCTTTCATTGTTACTGTTGAAAATCAGTTATCATCCTAATTGTAGCATCTTGCTGACTAATCTTTCTGGGTGCTGTTAAAAACTGCCCTTAGATGTCTGTATTCTGGCGATGCACTTTAATGGGTTGCTGATTTCTCTCTTTCCCTCTCTCCTGCTTTGGATATTTTTCCTTCCAGAAGGAAATTCTTTCAGCAATTCTAGAAATTTCTTGGTAATTCTTTGAATATAGCATCCTCTCCATTCTCTCTATAATATTCTCCTGGAATTCTGATTAGATGTATGTTAAGCCTTCTAATAATATCTTCCATGTCACTTATTCTTTTCTTAATTATGCTTTAATATATTCTTTTCTTAATTTGCTTCAGTATAGCTTTGTTTCAAACTTGATTCATCATTTTAATGGTTTATTGCTTCTTGTTCATATTTCAAAAATGATTTCTTTAAGCATAAAAAACATACTTTTTTTTCTGATAATCTAAATGTCTGACTTCTTTATAGGCCTGATATAACCTGAAGTTTCTGTTGGTTCTCACTTATTATGCCTGTTCCCTGTTTCTAAGGTTTTGCCTGTTAGCTTACATTTTCAGGATTTTATCTATGGGAAATCTTTGGAGATGGGAGATGTTGGGATAATAACATTATCCTTTATGACTAAGTCTCCTTCTGAGATGCCCTACTTTTGTGGCTTGGGTTCTCATATGGAGTCTTCTGACAGCATTTCTTCTCCCTGCCTCTAACAGTAGCAATGGCTTCCCATTTGTTGCTGTTCTCCAGGTACCTCAACCTTTCTCATTTGTTCACTTAGCCTTACTTGCAAATAGACTAGTCTTTGAAAAATCTCTTAAAAAATCTCAACTGAGTACATCATTGTTTCCTGATGAGACTCTGAGTAATATAACCTATGTGAAGATAACTTAATAAATGATAGCTATTATTGTTATTGAGTAGACCACTTTTTCTTGAGGGGAATCTTCAAGTATTATAATTCAGGCAAAAATGATTATGATGCTTGGGGACAAAATGTTTCAAAAAAGTTATTGCCAGAGCATTGTGGAATGAGAGAAAAAGCTCTCTCCACTTCTTTAAAGCCCACCCCTTAATCAGTATAAGGAAGCCCCAAGTTCTTCCTTCAGGATACTGTTGTCAGAATCCATTTTGAGCCCATTCTCACCACCATTACCTTCCCCTATACTTCCCTCTCACTCACCTTGGAGGGCTATAAAGTGAGGGAGGTACACAGCTTCCACAGCTCCTGGTTCAGCCTTGATGTCAAAAAGAGGCCCTGCAACCATCCAGCTGTGCTGTGGGACAGTCTGGTCCAGGAACTGGTCCCAAGCACAGAATTCAATCTCAATGGTCACTGGCCTTCTCACCACAAAGTAGAGCCCCATTTTGGAAGAGTGGTAGGAACCAGCCACAGGGAAGTGAACTCTGGGGATAACAGAGAGAGGCAGACATTGAATTAATTATTCCACACAAGCTTCCTGACTACCTACTGGGTGCCCGACCCATGCAGTGCACTGTATATTTAGTAGGTTGGCTGCAAGCTCAATTGTCACAGCCAGAGGGATTTGAGTTTGATTCTTGGCCCCTTTCCTCCCTACTGTGGATCCCTGAATAAGTAATTGAACTCCCTAATCACAGTTTTCTTATTTTTAAGTAAAAGTAATAACAACATTATCTCTTAGAATTGTGAATAATAAGTGATCTAATATGTGACAAGTATGTGATTGCTTAATACTTGTGAGTAATAAGTGACCTATTATGTGACAAGTATGTGATGGCTTAATACTTGCGTGGGTGTGGTTAGCTATTTCTATAATTATGAGAATAATAATAGTAATAATAATAATAATATTAATATTAATGAAACAGACAAGTGTTATTGTTTTTAAAGGGCCTAATCCTACTTAATAATAGAGTAATATGCAAATTAACCACCACTCTGCTACACCACAAGCCACGCCCACCATCTACTTAGAGCAAGTATGCAAATAAACCCAACCAAAGGGCTACCAGGAGGGAGGCTTGGGTTTCCCAGGCAACCAAGGAAGCTAAGCTTTCCACACACCCTGGTGGGCCCCAGCCTCCACTCAAGGCTACAAAGTTTCAATTATAGAAGGTAAACAAATCCAAGCCTGGTCACAGAGCAAGCAGGAGGCTTTGCCCCACTCCAGGCTACAACCCCACCCTGATCTGGGACACACTTCAGGGCAAACCAGCTGGCCCCACCCATGCACCAGGCCTCTATCCTATCTAATAAAAGAGTAATATGCAGATTGACCATCACTCCAACACACAATTAGGCTGCCCCCATGTGAACAAAGATCCTGCTCCCATGTGCACACAAGATGACCACCACAAGATGGCTAACAGGGGAGGGCAGTTGGGAAGCACCAGGCCTGCAAGGGAGGGCAGTTGAGAGGGACCAGGCATGCAAGGGAGTGCAGTTGGAAGTGATCAACCCTGCAGTGGAGGGCAGTTAGGGGTGACCAGGCCAGCAAGGGAGGGAAGTTGGGGGCAAACAGGCTTGCAGGGGAGCAGTTAGACATCAATCAGGCTGGCATGGGAGTGGTTAGGGGGTGATCAGGCTGTCAGGCAGAAGCAGTTAGGAAGGCAGGCAAGCAAGCAGTTGAAAGCCAGCAGTCCTGGATTGAGAGGAATGTCCGACTGCCCATTTAGGCCCGATCCCTCCCACTGGGATCAGGCCTAAATGGACAGTCAAACATCCCTTGAGGGGTCCCAGATTGGAGAAGGTTCAAGCTGGGCTGAGGGACACCCCTTGCCCCTGAGTACGAAATTTATGTACCAGGTCTCTAGTTTCCAATAATTAGTAACAATCTACATGGTGATATTAATGATAACCACTTGACCTTAAAATAAAACCTACATAGACTTTCCAAAGGTTCCCTGTTGGTATAGAGCAGATTTCTAGGATGTCAGGTTCTGTGTGTAAGTTGTGAGTAATATTATCACCCATCTGAGATCATGTCTGTGACAATGAATGGGAATATGTAAGAGGTCAGAACTAAAATTATAGACATTTATTACTTAAGACTGGGAACCCTTGGAAGGCCTGGCTCCATATACATCTCATGGCTCCTTGCTACTGGTATGGTACTTTGCACATAGCGGATGCTAATAAAGCAGGAATGTGTAGATGAAAATAGATTTAAATGAGATTTATGATACATAAAACAAAACAAAAACCCACAAGTAAAATGAATGGACTTGGTTTGGATCCTGATTAGAATAAATTTAATGCAAGGACATATTTTGGACAATTGAGTATATTGAATATAGATGGGGTATTAGATGATATGAAATGACTTATTGTAAATGTTAGATATGACAATGGCATTGTGGTTATGACAATGGTGTTGTGATTATTTTGTATTCTTCAAAATTCATCATAAAACATATAAGGATAAAATCACCTGATATCTTGTATTTAAAAATAGTATAACAACAAAAGAAGGGGAAAGTGAATAGTTGAAACAAATTTGAGAAAATGGTTGTTAAAGCTGGGTAATGAGTAAGTGGTAATCCCTTAGAACATTTTTCTTTGTTCTTTGCAACTTTTCACAATAAAACTTCTGTTTCCATAATAAAAGTACTAATACAGCCCGTTTCTCTGCCTGGTGGCTCAACAATGAGAAGGGCCAAAACTGGTTTGGCTCAGTGGTAGAGCGTTTGTCTGCGGACTGAAGGGTCCCGGGTTCGATTCCGGTCAAGGGCATATACCTTGGATGCGGGCACATCCCCAGTAGGGGGTGTGCAGGAGGCGGCTGATTGATGTTTCTCTCTCATCGACCTTTCTGGCTCTCTATCTCTCTCCCTTACTCTCTGTAAAAAATCAATAAAATATATTAAACGAACAAACAAACAAACAAACAAAAACAATGAGAAGAGACCCAATGGATTATTAGTGGGGTGTTGAATGTCTGTTGGGATCCAGTATAGGGATGGTGGGGGTGGGGAAGCCAGCCTGGCACACCAGAGTCCTGTCACTCACCGGTACAGACTCCTGAATTTGTCAACCATCTCTGTAGCCACGGGCCCTGTGGGGCCCCAGAAGGCATCATCCATCCTTAGAGGCTCCACTGGTTGGTTCCGCAGAGGTTCATAAGATGACAGACAGTAGGGATTCTGTAATACTTGAGGGGAGCTCTTCTCTGGAACACACAGGGATGTGGTCAGCTTTAGGGCCTCCTGCCTGGCCTCTTCTACCCTTTAAGCTATAACATGGAGGGGTCCTTCTCAAGGCTTACCTAGCTGGACTTTGGACAGATTGTGATAGAAGGCTCTGTCCATGCTCCTGGGGCTGCCTACCTGCTATCTGAGGAGGCCCAACCCTGTTGTCCCCTGATGCCACCCTTGCCCACTGTTACAGAAGGCATTTCTATTCCAGAATCCACCAGAAAGGGAGCTTATGAGAAGAACATGGCTCTGAAGGTGGATGGGCAATGATGTAAAGGGATTACCAGCCCTCAGAGGCCAGTGTAGACCAGAGCCTGAGACATGCCAGAGATGAGCTGGAGAGGAGCAGCCTCAGCCCCTGAGTCTGGGAGGGAGGAAACCAGAGCTCTTGTCAGGTTCCAGGTGTGGAAGACCTTGCATGGAGCGAGGCCTCTCTAGTTGGGAATTTTGCTATGCCTCACCCCAGAGGCAGGAGCATGGAGGGGATGGCCTTCCATATCCTCCTCACCCCTGTCCCAATTAATGGTGCTCCCAGCCTGGCCCCTTCAAAGTACCTGGTTCTGATGTCTGCCACTGGGGTGGAGATGTGCCATCACTCATCTGTCCTCCACCTGGGACAATCTCAGTGACCGTTTCACTTGGCTCCCTAGACACAGAATTGGTCATTTTCCCTGAGATCTTGGAGGAAGTTCGGGCTGTCTACAAGACATCCCCACTTAATTTCAACCCATCTGAATTTGAACTCATGGCCTTCATCTGACGTTCTTGCATAGATACTGTCTTTGTGATGGCTTGCATCCAACCCTCCATGCTTGCAGGAACTGGGATGCAGTCCTAACTCTTGGCTCCCTCTGAGTTGATTGGCCACCTTGTCACTGGCTCTAGTATAGCTCTCCTTTCTAGTCCCTTCTCTTCACCTCCACAGCCCCCACCTCCAGCCAAGGCCCTGGTATCTGTGGCTGAAACCACTGCATTCTTCCTCTAAAGGTGTCGTCTTCTTCTGTTGTCCCTCTCCAGACCATTTCTACACAGCAGCTGGTCTTTAATTTGATCCTGACTCATCACTTAGCTACTTTGCCCTGAAATCTTTTCTTTTCTTTCTTTTTTTTTTTTTTTTTTTTTTACTGCTTTTGAGGTAGAAGCAGAAGTTATTAACATGGCCCAAAAGTCTGTTTGCCTCCCAACTTCCTGCCTCCCCTCAGTTCCAATCCCTCCTCTGCCACTCTCCCTGCTCACTCACTTCTAATCCAGTGCTGCTCAAAGGCCCTGTCAAAACACAGATTCTGATTCAGCAGGTCTGGAGTGAGGCTTGAGATTTGCATTTTTTAATGAGCTCTGAGGTGATGCTGATGCTGACACTGGTGGTCCATGGTCCACACTTGGAATAGCAGTGTTTCTGGTACCTGGCCTCCTTCCATTCCTCAAAGGAGCTGAGATCAGAGCCTCTACCTCTGTCAGGAATCTACCCACTTGAGGCTCAGCCAAGCCCTCCCACCTTTCATAACTCAGCTCAGGTCCTTTGGATGGACTCAAAGAGGCCATGAGAGCATTCACACTGACTCAGGCACAATGATTCATGCTGTGGGTCACCTGGGTCTGTGTCTCTGCTGTAAAAAAAAAACCCTTTTCCCAAAGCATTATGCACAAACAATTTTAATTAATATATAATGATAGGATGGTATTTCATAATTTTAAAATATAAAATGAAGTCAATGACTTCAAATAGTTATCTGCTATAATGAGTTTGAGGGGAAATTTAATCATCTATATCGTTACAGACATAAAGTATAATCGTTCAATGTTTAGTGCCTGATGGGAGGAATCATGATAGAAAGGTCCATATGAAATCATTTGATTATAGTAGCAATATCTAACTTCTGAAATGCATCCATGCTCTTTTGTATAATCATATTAGAGTCAAGTATATTTATTTTCACATCTGTTATAACTGCTATTGCAAAGGAGAAATACTATTGTCTTTTTTTCTAAGAGCTATACACAGAATAATTCTGTTCTTTCCAGGGAACATGTGCAAACCAATATAAGACCTAAATTTTTCACATAATATATAAAACAGGAGAAGCCGCTTCAGATTTATTTTTTTGAAGTCTGGAATTATGGCATTTTCCAATTAGGCTCCAGTTCTTCATCCCTGTAATCTGGCTCAGGGCTGCTGCACACTGTGGGCCTAAAGCAGCAGACAGGATTTCTGTTTAGGCTTCTTCTTTTCCACTGGTGTTTTTCTATTGATCTGTCTGACCAGGACATAAAATATCTCATTAACATTGATCTTTGACTTTGCAGAAGATTCTAAAAGGCACAGTTACACCATTGTCTTGCTAAATTCTGACCTTGTTCTCTGCCAACTACTCGCTCATCTTCCAGGACACATTTATTGCCAACCAAAATCATTGGAATATCTTCTGTGTCCTTAACCCGTAAAATCTGTTCCCTCAGGTCCTGGAAGTCATTAAATGTGGACTGAGCTGTGATAGAATATACCAGTGCAAACCCTTGGCCATTCTTTATATGCAAATCCCTCATCGTTGTAAATTGCTCTGTTCCTGCTGTGCCAGGATTTTGAGAATACACTCTTGGCAATGTACTTCAACTAGCTTTCTGTAGGAATCTTCTATCGTTGGGTCATATTTTTCAACAACATTTCCCTGAACAAACTGAACTGTCAGAGCAGACTTCCTCACGCCTCTTTAACCAAGCACAACTAGCTTGTACTCACCTAAGGGATGGTCTGTTTAAATACTGAAAATATCTTCTTGCATACATTGGGCTTTGGTTCTGGCTCTGCCTGGTGTATACAGCCTTGGGAGCAGCAGCAGTGGTGAAGAATTCAGGAAGCCTCAGTTTTCTTATTTATAAGTAAAAGTAATAATAGAGTTGTGAGTAATAAAGGACCTAATATATGTTGATGGCTTAATATATGACTGCAGATGGTTAACTGTTTCTAGAATGACAATGATGATGAAAATAATAATAGTATTAAGAAACATAAAATAGGAAAGTTATTATTTTTAAAGGTCCTACTTTTCAACAATTAGTGTAATCTAATCTATATGGTGACATTAATGATAGCCACTTGAGCTTACAATAACACTTTCAGAAATATTACAGAGACTTTCCCCAGGTTCCTGGTTGGTATAGAGTGGGCTCCTGGGATGTTAGCTTCTGTGTGTGTCAGTTGGGAGTAATATTGTCACCCAGCTGAGATCATGTCTGTGACAGCGAATGGTAATGTTTTATGTAAGAGAGCAGGACTAAGATGATAGACATTGATTACTTACGACTGGAAACGCTTGAGAGGCACGACTCATGGTTGGTTGTTAGTGGTATGGTCCCTTACACACAATGATGTTAACAAGACAGGAATATATAGGTGGGAAGAGATTTGAATGAGATTTGTGAGACATAACAAACCAATTACAACCGGTGGACTTTGTTTGGATCCTGATTAGAACAAACATACTACAAGGACACGTTTTGGACAACTGAGCATGTTGAATGCAGAATGGATATTAGATGATATAAAAGTAACTTATTGTAAACATTGTTAGATAAGATAGTGGCATTGTGTTTATGGATAAAAAGGTTTCTATATTCTTCTAAATGAACCACAAAATATATATAGATAAGATCACCTGGTGTTTTGTATTTTAAATCCTTTATAATAAAAGGGTAATATGCAAATTGACCAAAATTGCAGAATGATCGGTCTCTTATGTGCACGGACCACTGGGGGCAGACGCGAAATGCAGGAGCTGCCCCTGGTGGTCACTACACTCCCTCAGGGGGAGCTCCACTCAGCCACAAGCCGGGCTGATGGCTGCTAGGATAGTGGCAGTGGTAGGAGCCTCTCCTGCCTCGTTGGCAGTGCTAAGGATGTCTAACTGAGGCTTAGGCCCACATCTCTCGAGGGTTCCCAGGCTGCCCAAGAGATGTCTGACTACCAGCTTAGACCTGTTCCCCCAGGGGTGGCAGACTGTGAGAGGGAGCAGGCTGGGCTGAGGGATCCCCCTGCCGCCCGCCCCCGAGTGCATGAATTTTCATGCACTGGTCCTCTAGTACTATTGTATAATAACTCCCTAGCTGATTTGGCTTGATGGATAGAGCTTCAGCCTGTGGACTAAAGGGTTTGGGTTTGACTCTAGTCAAGGGCAACTGCCCATGTTGCGGGGTTTATTCCCAATAGGGGGCATGCAGGAAGTAGTCGCTCAATGATTCTCTCTCATCATTGATGTTTCTATCTCTCTCTTCCTTCCACTCTGAAATCAATAAAAACCCAAAACAAAACAAGAACTTGATTGAGGCATACATGACATACAATAAAATGAAAGTATTTTAAAAATAAAATAAAATAATAACAAAAGAAGAGGAAAGTGAATAGTTGAAACAGATTTAGGAAAAATGGTTGTTGAGGCTGATAATGAGTTTGTGGTAGTACTTTGGTCTTTTCTGTTGTTGTTTGCAACTTTTCATAATAAAACTTCTGTTCCATAATAAAAGTACTAATACAGCCCCGTTTCTCTGCCTGGTGGCTCAACAATGAGAAGGGACCCAATAGATCATGAGTGGGGTGCTGAGTGTCTGTTGGGATCCAGTGTAGGGATGGTGGGGGTGGGGAAGCAGGCCTGGCACACCAGAGTCCTGTCACTCACCGGTACAGACTCCTGAATTTGTCAACCATCTCTGTAGCCACAGACCTTGTGGGGCCCCAGAAGTCACCATCCAGCTTTAGAAGCTCCACTGGTTGGTTCCGCAGAGGTTCATGAGATAACAGATAACAGGGTGTCGGTAATACTTCAGGGGAGCTCTCCTCTGGAACACACAGGGATGTGGTCAGCTTTAGGGCCTCCTGTCTGGCCTCTTCTACCCTTTAAGCTATAACATGGAGGGGTCCTTCTCAAGGCTTACCTAGCTGGACTTTGGACAGTGTGTGTTAGTAGGCTCTGTCCATGCTCCTGGGGCTGCCTGCCTGCTATCTGAGGAGGCCCAACCCTGTTGTCCCCTGATGCCACCTTTGCCAACTGTTACAGAAGGCATTTCTATTCCAGAATCCACCAGAAAGGGAGCTTATGAGAAGAACATGGTTCTGAAGGTGGATGGGCAATGATGAAAAGGGATTCCCAGCCCTCAGAGGCCAGCATGGACCAGAGCCTGAGACATGCCAGAGATGAGCTGGAGAGGAGCAGCCTCAGTCCCTGAGCCTGGGAGGGAGGAAACCAGAGATCTTGTCAGGTTCCACGTGTGGAAGACTTTGCATGGAGCGAGGCCTCTCTAGTTGGGAATTTTGCTATGCTTCACCCCAGAGGCAGGAGCATGGAGGGGATGACCTTCCATATCCTCCTCACCCCTGTCCCAATTAATGGTGCTCCCAGCCTGGCCCCTTCAAAGTACCTGGTTCTGATGTCTGCCACTGGGGTGGAGATGTGCCATCACTCATCTGTCCTCCACCTGGGACAATCTCAGTGACCGTTTCACTTGGCTCCCTAGACACAGAATTGGTCATTCTCCCTGAGATCTTGGAGGAAGTTCGGGCTGTCTACAAGACATCCCCACTTAATTTCAACCCATCTGAATTTGAACTCATGGCCTTCATCTGACATTCTCGCATAGATGCTGTCTTTGTGATGGCTTGCATCCAACCCTCCAACCTTGCAGGAACTGGGATGCAGTCCTAACTCTTGGCTCCCTCTGAGTTGATTGGCCACCTTGTCACTGGCTCTAGTATAGCTCTCCTTTCTAGTCCCTTCTCTTCACCTCCACAGCCCCCACCTCCAGCCAAGGCCCTGGTATCTGTGGCTGAAACCACTGCATTCTTCCTCTAAAGGTGTCGTCTTCTTCTGTTGTCCCTCTCCAGACCATTTCTACACAGCAGCTGGTCTTTAATTTGATCCTGACTCATCACTTAGCTACTGATGCCCTGAAATCTTTTCTTTTCTTTCTTTTTTTTTTTTTTTTTTACTGCTTTTGAGGTAGAAGCAGAAGTTATTAACATGCCTCCCAACTTCCTGCCTCCCCTCAGTTCCAATCCCACCTCTGCCACTCTCCCTGCTCACTCACTTCTAATCCAGTGCTGCTCAAAGGCCCTGTCAAAACACAGATTCTGATTCAGCAGGTCTGGAGTGAGGCTTGAGATTTGCATTTTTTAATGAGCTCTGAGGTGATGCTGATGCTGACACTGCTGGTCCATGGTCCACACTTGGAATAGCAGTGTTTCTGGTACCTGGCCTCCTTCCATTCCTCAAAGGTGCTGAGATCAGAGCCTCTACCTCTGCCAGCAATCTACCCACTTGAGGCTCAGCCAAGCCCTCCCACCTTTCATAACTCAGCTCAGGTCCTTTGGATGGACTCAAAGAGGCCATCGGAGCATTCACACGGACTCAGGCACGATGATTCATGCTGTGGGTCACCTGGGCCTGTGTCCCTGCTGAGTTAATTCCTGGGTGTTGGGCTCGTGTCCATGGTCCTGAGCCTAACACACTGTGGGTTTGAAGGCAATATTTGTTCTCTGAGGAATGGCTCCTAAGGCCTCCTAATGGCTTCTGCCAGACTAGGTGAGGCCGAGGATGGGCACCAGGGCATAGATGTACTTTGCAGTGACAGACGAAAACATACCAAAATTAAGGCCCATGGGGCTGCAGCCAATTCCCAGCAGGAAATCGTATTCTCCTGTTCCCAGGATTCCCCTCAGCTGGGCTGCATGCATGGGTGTTTATATGTGTGGAGATTAAATGAGGTTGGTCTGTCCCCTCCAAAGCTCTCTCTGCTTGTCCTTACCTCCCCCTCAACATCATGGCTTTTCACGTTCCAAATCTTACCCACTCACTGATACACATTTCTTCATTTTTTTTTTTTTTTTTACCTCCTTATCATCTCATGGAAGGGTTTCAACAGAGAAGGGGCATAATCTTGTTTGAACTAAACAAACAAAGAAACAACCTCTCTCTGGCTGCTGTGGTTTCCCGGCTTCTTCCTGCTTCTGTCTGTCTCTACCTCCAACCTCACCCATTCCCACTTCTGGCCCATGTTTCTGGAACAGTCTGTAGGAGTCGGCCGTGGGCCTGGGTCAGCTCGAGGGAGTTCTATGTCTCCTCCTTACCAATTACCGATGTTGACCAGCTGAGGCTTCTCCTGCTGCAGGAGACCCAGCATCTTTTTCACCTCCTCACTCAGCTGAGTCTGGTCCAGCCTGCAAAGCACAAAGGAAGCTTAGTTATCCAGGGCCCCCCACATGATCTCAAGGGCCTCAGGATCCAGAATCATGGAACATTCCAGGACCTGTAGGAACCTGTTGTGGGTTGGGTTCCTTAAAAACACATTCTACGATGAAAAGTAGAGTTGAGTTAGGAGGTTTATTAGGGAGTGTTCTTGGGTCAAAACCAGGGCAAAGGGAGGTAACAGGACTGGGTAGAGTGACATGTTGGGCTGTGATGCAGTCCCAAGGAGCACAGCTGACTCTGTGGGACTTCTGATGTGGGAATGACCCTCCAGGGCTGTCCATACTTGGAGGAGGGTCCTTATACCACTACACCAGTCACTGGATGCAAGCCACGCAGGAGGACAGTGACTTTGTGTGAGATGGCTCTAGTTGGCAGAGGCCATTCTTGTAGCTGGCAGCACTCTCAAGGATGTGGGGTGGGTCTTCTTTCCTGAAAACAGACTCAGCAGCACTTCACAGCATCCACCAGAGAACAGTCAGTCCCCATGGCTTCAAACTCACCACACCGAAGTAGGTCCTGGGATTTCCTTCCCAGCGGCTAGGAGGCTTCCTGGAAAGAAAGAGCCCGTTTCTATTCTCACACGCCCTGTGCTCTTGATATCTATTGGATTTAGGATAGCTGCTGCCCTCTCTGGGCCTCCATGTCCTCACCTCCAACATGGAGTAACCTATTATGAGCCATGGACAAGGCAGGTGTGAAGACCCTGTACCTGTCAGGGGCACACACCTTCCTCATTCCTGCTGTCAGAGCTGTTCTCCCTTGGGGAGGGGATGACCCATGAAGTGGTTGTTCCTCTCATCCCAGTCCCACGGCCCTAGGAAGGAAGGAGGCAGAAACCTTCGCAGGACGTGTTAGAGCTGCTCTGAGGCAACCAAAAGTAACAGGTGAGGAGTAACAGGTGAGCAAGGCATCGATGCAGACCTAGCTCTGGAGATGGTGATGCAAAGGCCCAGCTCTGGAGATGGTGATAGCCACACATGCTCAGAGGGGAGGGGACTGAGGTGGAAAGATGCCAGCCCCAGAGGTGGACTTCCTTTGGTTGTGAAGGGTAGAGTGGGCTCTGGGAGGACCCACATGTAGAGTTTTCACTTTCTGCTGCTTTAGATTTGAGAAAGGAGGACTCTCAGAGGAAAGGTTGAGAGTTGGCTGGAGCCTCAACCAAGAGAAAGGGCATGGATACAGACCTACTGCAAAGGCCCAGCTCTGGAGAGGTGGTGACATAGAGGAGATGGTGACAGCCACACATGCTCAGAGGGGAGGAGGTTGGGTGGTGGTAGACCTATAGGATGGGGTGCTCTTGGTTGTGAAGGGTCAGAGTGGGCTCTGGGAGGACCCGCATGTAGAGTGTTCACTTTCTGCTGCTTTAGGTTTGAGAAAGGAGGACTCTCAGAGGAAAGGCTGAGAGTCGGCTGGAGCCTTGGCCAAGACAGAGGGGTCAGGACATGGAGGTTTGGAGCCCTGTCAGCTCTTAGTGTGAGATAGGCCCCAGCCAGGAGTCGCGGGGAAATGTTCAGTCAGAACCTGGCTGTGGACTTGTTTTTATGCTGGGATTTAACAGGAAGTGGCTGGGAGACAGCATGGGAAATGAGGGCTGGAGGTCACTGCACCCCAGCCACAGGGCTCTCCAGTACTCTAAGCCTGATTCTGTCCTGGGTTCTCCCCGATGCTATTCTCAGCCTGCACTGCTCCCCCTGATGGGCCTGGTCAACCCCTCCTTCTGCTTCAGGTCTCAGCCTGATGTCAATTCCCCAGAGAAGCCCTCCCTGCCCCTGAATCTAATTCCATTCCCCCACCCCCACCCCCTGCCTGCCACTCCATTACACTCTCATAACATAGTGCAACAGTGCACTTTCCCTTCACAAACTGCATGGAGCTCAGAGATATACACTGTGTGTTAACATGTCATCAGCATCTGTCTCCTTCTCACTGGAGTGAAAGCTTCAGGGGGCAGGGCCTGTGTCTGTTGCTCAATATTGTCTCCTCAGTGTCTGGCCCAGTGCTTGGCACATGGAAGCCATGAAATGAATGAAAAGATGAACGAGTGAATGAATAAATGAATGAGAGAAGGAAGAAAGGAAAGAAGGAAGGAGGGAAAGAAGGATGAAGGAAAGAAGGTGGAAGGAATGATGGAAGAAAGGAAGAAAGGAAGGAAAGAAACAAGGAAGGAAAAGGATGGCAGGACGCCTTGGATGGAGAAGTAAACCTGGGCAGGAATCCTCTGAACATGTGGCCTCACCAGTGTTTATCATTTGAGCCTCTCAACTCTGTTCCCAGTGCTGCTCTAGTTTTACAAGCATTTTATGTCATCACGTCTGTGAAGTGGGTATGATAGTCCTATTATACAGATGAAGAAACCGAGTCTCAGATGAAGACCTGCCTGTCTCAAGGCCTAAGTCAGTGGCGGATATGGTAGGGAAGGCAGCCTGCCCATGCATTTTTCTGCTCCCTTACTTCCGCTGTCCATTTCAGGGCCCCCACATCGCTCTCCCTCCCCTTCCCTGTCCTCTGCCCAGAAATGACCCAGGGCCTTACCACAGGTTCCTGAGTTGGCAGGCAGGCTGCCTGAGCCCTTCACAGAGCAGTGTTACACCAAGGTTGCCCAGGTCGTTTTGCTGCACGTCTAGCTCTGTCAGGCTGGAGCTGGTAGCCAGCATGGAGGCCAGGTCCTTGCAACAGTCATTTGTGAGGCCACAGTTGACCAGCCTGTGGGAGAGATTTGTATGTCCTGAGGTCCCTCTCCTCAGGGTAACTGGGGTCTGGTTTCCATTTCTAGTACTGTGGTCCTTTTGGGGTCCTTGGTGATATTAAAGGAAGAAAAACACATGTCTGGAACATTTTACTTAAATTTTATTTTTTATTTTTGGAGAGAGGATTATGGGGGAGGATGGGAGTAGGCTGGAAGAGGTTTATGGGGGAGAAAAGGATGACCTATGTAATACTTTCAACCATAAAGATTTGAAAAATAAATAAATAAAAATAAAGGTTACAGAGACCGGCAAAAAAAGAAATTTATTTTAAATCCTCACCAAGGATACTTTTCCCATTGATATTTAGAGAGAGTGGAAGGGAGGAGAGGGAGGTGAGAGAGGAGAGAAACACTGATGTGAAAGATAAAATAATTGGTTGCCTCCTGCAGGGGGCCCCAATTGGGGCACTAGGAATTGAAGCTGCAACTGAGGTTCTCACCCTTGACTGGGAATTGAACCCGTGACCCTTCAATTTGGGGGTCAATGCTCCAACCACTGAGCCAAATTGCCAGAGCATGGGAGATTTTCACTTTTCCTGCAACCAAGGAGCCACTCATCAACATTTCTCACTCCTGTGTGATTCTTACCAATGCTTCCTACTCTCCACATCAGCACTATACAATTAACTAACCCAACCTTCCAGTTGTGTACTGGGCCTAATCGTTAACCACATCAGCCCTTCCAAATGCCCAATTAGCTGACTCAAGATGCCTTGGCGGGGTTCAACATGAGGGTGTGTATCTGCTCCAAACCCCATTCTCCCATCTTGCCTAGTTCTCACTTCCTCTGTGATTTATAGTCTTAGGGTAACTATCTCCCCTCCTGTGGCTCAAAGTAATGTCAACGATGAGCAATTATAGCTACAGCTGTGGGGTGGAAGGAATAAAGCTTTATATCTTAGTAGCTTTGATTTCATTTCTTTCCTGTTTGAGCAAGGTCACTGTATTTTCATTTTGTATGGATCCTACAAACAATTAAGCTAGTCCTGAGATGAGGAATAGGTGTTTTTTGGTTAGGGAAGAAAGTCTAGTTTAGAATACACTGACTTTGAAGAGTCCATGGCACATCCTGGAGGAGGGTGTGGTTTTTCAGTCCTGAGTTGAAGATGGAAACTTGGCAGCTACCCACTGAAAGGGGTCTGGGATGCAATTGTGGAAAGGCTCTGAATGAGGTGGAGGACACTAAAATTAAGATACTTACGAATAAATTAACAAAGGAGGTAAAAGACCTATATGCAGAAAAGTACAGGACACTGAAAAGAGATAGAGGAAGACATAAACAGATGGAAGAACATACCATGTTCATGGATTGGTAGAATCAACATCATTAAAATGTCCATACTACATATATTTTGTATCCTGCTACATTGCCAAATTAATTTATTGTGTGATAATTTTTAAAAATACATACATATGTATTTTAAAAATACATACATACTTAATATGAATGTATGTATGTATTTCTAAATATTACCACACTTAATAAATTAATTTGGCAGTGTAGCAGAATACAAAATTAACACCCAGAAATCTATGGCTTTTTAATACACCAATGATGAACTCACAGAAAGAGAAACTGAAAAAACAATCCCATTTATCATTGTACCAAAAAAATTAAGATACCTAGGAATATGTTTAACTAAGGAGATAAAAGGCTTGTACTCAGAAAACTACAGGACATTGAAAAAAAAAAGATAGAGGAAGGCATAAACAAATAGAAGAATATACCATGTTCATAGATTGGTAGAATCTATGTCATTAAAATGTCCATACTACCCAAAACAATCTATAGATTCAATGCAATCCCCATTGATTTTAGAGAGAAAGGGAGAGGGCAAGAGAGAGATAGAAACATTAATGATGAGAGAGAATCAGTGATCAGCTGCCTCCTGAACACCCCGTATTCAGGAGTGAGCCCACAACCTGGGCATGTTCCTTTGACCAGAATCAAACCAGAGGCTCTTCAGTATGCAGGCTGATGCTCTATCCACTGAGCTAAACCAGCTAGGGCAAGTCTAATAGGTTTTTTTAATGGAATTTTTGGGGTTTTCTATGTACAATATCATGTCATCTGTGAATAAAGACAGTTTTACTTCTTTTTCAATTTGGATGCTTTTTAAATTTCTTTTTCTTGTCTGATTACTATGGCTAGCACTTCTAGTACTATGTCAAACAGGAGTGGTGAGAGTGGGCATCTCTGTCTTGCTCCTATTCTTAGGGGAAATGGTTTTATTTTTTGCCCATTGAATATGATGTTGGCTGTAGGTTTGTCATATATGGCCTTTATTATGTTGAGATATGTTCCCTATATTCCAACTTTGCTGAAAGTTGTTGTTTTTTTTAAATAAAAAATGGGTGTTGGATTTTTTCAAATGCCTTTTCTGTGTCTATTGATATGATCATGTGATTTTTGTCTTTCAATCTGTTTATGTGAGGTTTCATGTTTATTGATTTGTGAATACTGTACCAGCCTTGCATCACTGGAATAATCCCATTTTATCATGGTGTATGATTTTTTAAATATATTGCTGGCTTGGGAGCATATCTATGCAGCATCTACTTACTCTGCTGCCATTTTTTATCCTCCAGACTACTTCTCTTTTATAGAATAGTTTTAGTTTTTTAATGAAAATTGGCACCCTCTGCTTCCTTCCCTCTGAGGTTCTGCAATGTCTTCTGTGTTTCTATGTCTCTGGAACTTTTTGGAGAGTTCTTATAAACTTCTGTCCCTATCTACACAGCCACTCCCATTATCAACATCAGCCAGGAGAGTAGTAAATTTGTTAGAATCAGTGAACCTACATTGACACATCATAATCACCCGAAGTCCATAAGTTACATTATGGCTCATTTTTGGTTTTTTTACATTCTATGGTTTTTTGAAATAAAAAATGACATGTAGCCCAAACCGGTTTGGCTCAGTGGTAGAGCGTCAGCCTGTGGACTGAAAGGTCCCAGGAACAATTCTGGTCAAGGGAATGTACATTGGTTGCGGGCACATCCCTGATGGGGGGTGTTCAGGAGGCAGCCGGTCAATGATTCTCTCTCATCGATGTTTCTAACTCTCTATCCCTCTCCTTTCCTCTCTGTAAAAAAATCAATAAAATATATTTTTTAAAAATGACATGTATCTGCCATTATAGTGTCATATAGAGAAGTCACTCTGCTCTGCCTATTTATCATTACCTCCCAAACGCCTGGCAATCATAGATCTTTTTCCTGTCTTCATATTTTTTTAATTTTAGAATTTCACATTGTTGGAATAATATAGTATATAGCTTTTCAGATGTCCTTTTTTTTCAATTAGTAATATGCAGTTAAGGTTCACTCATTCTTTTCATAGCTCTAGGGTTCATTTTTTTTCCACATGCTGAATAATATTTCATTGTATAGATATACCATGATTTATTTATCTGCTCACCTACTGAAGGACGATTGATTGCTTTCCAGGTTGGGCAATTACAAATAAAACTGACATAAACACCATTGTGCAGATTTTTGTGTGGGCATAGGTTTTCAACTCATTTGAGTAAATACCAAGGAGCACAATTGCTGGATCATATGGTAAGGGTGTATTTAGTTCACTAGGATTCTGCAAAATGACACTATTATTTTGCATTCCCACTAGCAATGTATGAGGGTTTCTTTTGCTCCACACCCTTGTCAGCATTTGGTGGTGTCAGTGTTCTAGATTTGTCAGTTCTAATTGGTGACTAGATGTGTCCCTTATTTCTAAAATCTAGGCATTGATAATATACATTTCCCTGTAAACACTGATTTAGTTGCATCAAATACATGTGTGTGTTTTTTAATTCATCTCAAAGCATTTTAAATTTCCCTTGTGATTTCTTCTTTGACCCATTGTGTATTTAGGAGTATGTTGTTTCATTTCTGTGTATGTGTAAATTTTCTACATTTTCCTTTGTTATTGAGTTCCAATTTCATTTAATTATTTTCAGATAATATAATTTGCTTGGTTTCAATTCTCTTAAATTTTTTGAGATTTGTCTTATGGGGCATTTTATTTTTGCACAGAAGTTAATTTGATACCTGCTTGACATCTCCCATTGGATGTCTAAAAAAACTTGAAGATTTTGCACAAAATCACATCCTTGACATTCCAGCCCCCATTCATTCCTCTTTCAGTATTTCCATCTCAGTGAAGGTGCCACTATCCCATGCATATCTTTGGCCTGACTTAAGATTATCTTCTATTGCTCCATCTCCCTTTCTTCATAATTCAAATCTATTGGATTTTACTTTTTTTTTTTTTTTTAGATCTCTTAAATCCATTCACTTTTTTCCATTTCCATTGCCAACACCATGGTCCAAGATACAACTATTTCTGGCAGAAACTATGGTAACTTTCCTTAGTGAAACCTCTCACCATCTTTATTGGAAAACTGAAACTTTTCTATGAACAGGTTTTCCAATCTCTACTATTGCTCTCCTCCATGCCCAGTTTTATATGGTAGCCTGTTTCTACTTTGTAAATGTACTGATTTTATCAACCTTTTAATTATAATCACATTGCATTAGAAAAAACAACCCCAAATTCTAACAAGGCCTTACATAGACAGTCTTACTTCATGACCTCTGAAGCCTCTTGTAGCTCCTTTGCTCTCCATCCTTCAGCCTCACTTGTCTGCTTTCAATCCCATGACAGCCCATCCTCCCTCCTGACACAGGGTCTTTGAACTTTCTTTCATCATACTTCACTTAAGTAAACCCTCTGTATTCTTCCCATGTTCTTCAATATTCACTTTATTAAGGTCGTTTTTCACTGGATGCCCTTATCTGGGCCTGTAATAACACATTTGTTTGTGTGGTTATTGTCAGTCACTTGCAAATTATGTGGAAATAGAATCCTGTCTGTGTTTGCTTACTGAAGTAGCCATGGTCATAGAGGGGCTCAATGAACATTTGTTGAATATAATGACCACACACCCATCCTAGACACAATGTCTGTCTTATATCTGCTGTCCATCCCTGTTTCAGAACAGAACCCAGGCCAGACTCACCTCAAGGTCGTCAGAATGCAGCGAGGACTTTTCAGGGCATCACAAAGACTCTGTACTGCAAAGCAGCTCAGAGAGTTCCCACTCAGATCCAGCTCCTGCAGGCTTCCAGGGACTTTGAGAAGAGAGAAGAAAGTCTTCCACCAGGAATCTGTAAACGGGCCCCAGCTGTGTCTGAGAGAGAAAGAGGCACAGGGGAGATGTGATCGGTGTGTGTGTGGAGTCTTAATATGCACACTCTGCTCAACACCATGGGGTTTGGCCCCTCTGAGTGTCAGGCTGTAATGGGCAGGGCTATCACCAGGGGTAATCAGTCTCTGGAACTGTCGCTTTCCTCCCACCACCCTGGGCTAATTGACCCTCTTCTGTGTGGTTTCTCATGGTGCAGCCCTTGCCATTCTCTGCGGTGCTCATTTAGTGTGTCTGTTTCTGCCTCAGTCTGGGAATTTCTTGTGCGCTGGGGCAGATGTTCATTTCTTAAAAAATCTTCAGTACCCAGCATAGGGCCTGGCAAAGACCTTGGAGATGCAGACAGCCTTTCTCTCATCAATGCAGACATGCCTTTATTCCTTTGGCACAGATTTTGTAAAGTTCAAGTTTTCAGAAAGGAAAAGAGCAGGGAGGTGGGAACAGAACCTAGAAGAGGTTGTTTAAAGACATAGTTTTATGATGGGATTTTTGTATATTACTATATACTAGTATACTGTTGTCGATTGGCTTGCATGGGATCATATTCTCTTTCCAGGATAGCAGGACCATAGGGGGATTTCCCAGGAGAGAAATAGCAAAAGGGAAAGTTCTAGGAGAGAACATTTGCAGGATGTGAGAGAGAGGATGGGCTATGTTTGAAAGTTATAGGATAGACTGCCTTGTATAATTTCCACCAATTTAAATTCTACATTTCACACACTATTTAAGTGATTTTTATCTACTCCCAAATAAAATAATAAAATAGGTTTTTATCTATTTCAAGATGCAAACTGCCATCTCTATTTTATTGCCAGAAAATCCACCTCGATAGCCCAGTAGCACCTTGACCCAATGTGTCTCTAACTCAATTCATCTTTCCCTTCATGTCTGTGGACCTTGGATTAACTGGTAAGTGGCTGTAGTCTATTATCCATTTCTTTTTAAAAAAATATATTTTATTGATTTTCTATGCGGAGAAAGTGAGAGGGATAGAGAGTTAGAAACATCAATGAGAGAGAAGCATCAATCAGCTGCCTCCTGCACACTCCCTACTGGAGTGCCTGCAACCAAGGTACATGCCCTTAACTGGAATCAAACCTGGGACACTTGAGTCCAAAGGTCAATGCTCTATCCACTGAGCCAAACTAGTTAGGGCTATTAGCCCTTTCTTTTTGGGCTGTTCTGCGTTTTCTGTTCTGGATAATCAGGGCCAGATTCTGGGCTGTGACTGCACAGCCACTTCCTACCTGAAATCCGGTGCTGGTCAGGACACACTCCCCGGGAACCAGGTTCCCTGGTCCACCTGTCTGTGGGGATGCCTACTGGTCAGGTGTGATCGCCTGTTTGTTTTTGATGCTCAGGAGGAGAAGGGGACACCTTTCTCTAATTTAGTGTCCATGGGAGATTAGACTCAAGGCCCACTTATAGGGAACACATAGTTGGCCATTCCCCTCACTACACCCCTGGGATGTCTTCTTAAGAATCTACAGGACTTAGGGCTCACTCAGGATTTATGTCCCAAGTGCCTCATTTTCTACTGCAATATTGCTTGGCTGCAATACAAATTAGACAATGGGTGCCAATGGCCTGAGAATGGTACTTCCAATTTCCAAATTCTCACTGATCTTGACAACTTCTGCTGCTGGCAGGGCAGATGGCCTGAGGTCCCATATTTTATACTCAAGGACATATCCTTTTCTCTGTAACAGCTGCTCTCCCTCACAGATTTTCCTTCCTCATGCTAAACCATCCCCCCACCAACCTCCCATCTCAAATCCTCCTCCTCCTTCACCACTTTTGATCCTGCTGACCATCCCCAAGTGCCCCAGTCTACAGCTCCTCAGTCTCAGCAGCCCTAGAGTCCATCACTCTACCCATCAAATCCCATTTCCACCATTCTATCTCATACTTGCTCTGGAGCAAGTCTTTGGTTCTCTTCCTCCCAGCACTCTGGCACTAGCCTTAAGTGCCACCTTCGGGGGATTGCTGGTGCCAAATCTGGCTTCATGGCCAGGGCCAAGTGAATACCCTCCACTGGCAGGACCCTACCCTCCAAGTCCGAGTGGATGGTGCCCATAATAGGGACCCACAATGGAACTATCAGGAAAACAGACAGGTCGCAGGTTTTGAGACCACATGGTTCTCTGCCTGATAGAAGGACTAAGAAAGACAGCCCACAAAGCAGTTAATTATTAAAAATTATCAGAGGTCACCCAGAAAAGACATGAAAATCTGGTAGTCTTCCTCTCTCGCCTTATATAGGCCATGAGAAAATACATCAACCTTGACTCTATAGGCCCAGAAGGAACCAAACCCCCCAAAGAGACCTCATAAACATGACCTTTAGGGTTTTTAATAATAGAGACAAGGAGACCCAATCCAAAAACAAAGACGAGATCAAACCAAGCCTGAGGCACAGACAAAGGCCTTTCAGCCCCTACTCACCACTCTCATAAACCCCAAATAAAGTGCCAGTCCTCCAACCAAGGGTAAGTCAGGGGGCAAGCCGCCTCTGGGCCCTGCTTCAGATGCAACAAGAAAGTACACAGGACCAAGTCCTGCCCAAACCCAAGACCCCTGCCTCGGCCCTGGCCAAGGTGCGGGAGGGAAGGCCACTAGAAATCAGACAGTAGTCCGGCCTCTCCAGGTCAGACCTCAGCAAGGCCACCCCCTGAATCCGGTTTGGAGCTCCCAGACCTTCTGGGACTAGCTACCGAAGACTGAAGCTGCCCAGGCCCTGAGAGGGCCCCACAGACTTATATCACCAGGACAGAGCCTCAGGTAACGATTGTGGTGGCAGCTAAGCTTGTCTCCTTTTTAATTGACAATGGGGACACTTATTCTGCCCTCTCTGAATTTGCTTGGACCCTTGTCCCCTCCTCAGTCATCTCTATTATGGTGTTTGGTGGAGCAGTTTCACAGTCATTATAGCTACCTCACCTCTACACGGCATCTTTCTAAATACCCCCTTATCCACTCTTCTTGCCCAACAGGAGTGGTACATGCATCCCCTTGTAAAACCCAGTTATTTTAAATGACAGTCACCTACTTCAGTTTCACTCTCATCCCATAAATCTGTGCCATTCCTTAGACTATAAACACCTTATCTCCTCCATGACTGTCTCTTCTCTAAACAAGAAATACTCTCCTTTCTCAGACTCACTAGATGCTCTCCCCTCTGTGCTCCCCACTTCAGTCTTCTCAGAAAACTCCTCTATAACAGGACATGGTGAGGAGACTCTTCACTGAGCCTTTAAATCCCAAGGCCAGCTCTGAAAACTGCTCTGACCTCAGCGCCTTTTCACACCCCAACCCCCCTTTCCAAAGAACAACTTTCTTCCCTGCAAAACTGCAAACACTTAGTTAACAGTCTGGCTACTATCAGAAGCTGAACTCATTATCACCAAACCTTAGCATGTTATATTTAAGGAAAAATGTGGCAGTTTTAAATCAAAGTGGCTAGAGGCCTGGGAGAAGGCTGCTGGCCTGCTCCCTCCTCCCCCTGACTTTCCTCCAGTTTCATATGCCTATACATAATTTTCCAAAGTTTCGACAACTTAAAAGCTTTAGAGCATTGCTGGATTAAATGATAAACAACTAAATATTTCAATAAGTTTTAAGTTCACCTGCTTTTAACTTTTATTACAGAAATCTATAAAATAAACTTAGAACTGTTAATGTAATGTCTTGTACTTTATTAAAGGTATATTTATGTTCATAAATGTTAATTTAAGAAATGCTGGTTGTTTATTTTTTGTTATCATTGAAAAATTACAGTTTAAATATTGTATGGTCTAATAATATAGGACGCAAGGCATGGACATGCCTTTTTAAAGGAAAAAGAAAGTGAGTTATATAAGGTTAATTCATCTGCTCCCGGATCGCTGAAATGTCTCAGGTGACTGCCAGCCAGCTCCTGCTCCATCCCTACACTGGGCTGCCCTCCAATCCGCCTCTGCCTGACCCTGGCCTTTAACATTCTTTGCACATGGTCAGCAGGAAGTAGCCAGAAGGATCGAGGTGCCCCCTATCACCAAAAGGCCAGGGAGGCAGGGGGGAAGCCCAGAGCCGATGAAAGCATCTGCAAAGCCCCTGAATCCTGCCCAGACTGTCAATTTTTTAAAAATATAATCGAAGAGTCTGGAATATAAGGTTCTCCCTCCTCCCAACTGGTGGGCGGAGTTATGACATTATTGGCATCTGTCACAGAGACATCTCCAAGACATTGAGCCATCAATCAGCATGTGCCGAAGTGTCCTGGAGCCCACCCCTTCCTGTTCTGCCCTGGGTCCAACCCTCTCCTGTTCCTCGCCTTAAAAAGACCCCCAGACCAGCCACGTGCTACTGATCCTCCATGTCCAGGTGGCAGCCCTGCTGGGTCCATCCCCTCTCCCCACTCCTTCAATTCTGATTTCTCTACCTCTGTAATGAGTCCCGTTCATTACTGGGGAATAAACTTTACTTTAAAACTCCTTGGTGGTCAGTTTCCTGTGCCTCAAACCTTACAAGTTAAAGTTTTAAGAGTGTTTATGAAAGTTGTAAAAAGTTTCATGAAAGCTATAAAAGGTTTTGTAGGAAAAATGTTAAAAGGAAGTCATGTATATGATACAGGACAGCAAGCCAAAACAAGCAGAATAAGGAAACTGAAATAATAAAACAGAAGTCCATAGCCATCTAGCTAATCCTATCTTCTTAAACTAAGGACATCTAAAAGTAAATAATTTAAGAATACACCTCATTTTGGTATATTAGTCTACCACCCTCCAAAGTAATGTCTCTTTCCTTCCATCGGTCATTTGTCATAATTTTTATTGTTCTAGCTTTTGCCCCAGTAATACTACAATGTATAAAACACTGTCTCCATCAGATTACAAGTCCTACTTGTACTCAGGAAATACCACTCCTAGATACCATCAAAACCTCCTTTTGTGCCCAGACCTCATTGTCCCCTTAACCTCCAGAACAAGAACAATGGGCCAGGTACAGGTGTAAAAACTCATCAGGGTGGAAAGCTCCAGATTCCTAGAAAAGGACAAAACTGGGGTAAAACAAAAACTTTGCCCCCAGGGTAACCTACCCTCCCATTAGCCTTCCTGGAGAAAAATAACCCCTCTCGAATTTCAGCCAAATGACTAGTCTTATCTAATAAAAGAGTAATATGCAAATTAACTACCACTTTGCTACACCCAGAAGCCACACCCACCAGCCAATCAGGAGCAACTATGCAAATTAACCCAACCAAGATGGCTTCGGCTGTAGAGGGAGTAGGAGGGAGGTGTGAGTTTCCCCTGCGATGGAGGAAGCCAAGCTTTACACCTGCCTTGGCTGGCTCAGGCCTGCATTCCAGGCTACAAAGTTTCAATTATAGAAGATAAATGAATCCCAACAAAAATGGTGGCAGCCATGAAGGTGGAGAGAGCAGGAGGCTAGGGTTGCCCCAGGTGATGGAGGAAGCCAAGCTTCTGCACACCCTAGTAGGCCCAGGCCTCCACATAAGGCTACAAAGTTTCAATTATAGAAAAATAAATTCCAACAGAAATTGCTGCCACCTTGAAGTGAGCAGAAGGCTTGATTCTACTCCAGGCTACAAAATTTCAATTGTAGAAGATAAATAAATCCCAGATACCAGGGCCTCCACTTGGGTCAGCAGGGGGTGTGGGTGGCCTGAAAACCACCACAGGCCCCTCTCCCAGGCCGCCCCATGCCCAAAGGGGATCCCCACCCTGATCCAGGACAACCTTCAGGGCAAACCAGCTAGCCCCCACCTGTGCACCAGGCCTCTATTCTGTCTAATAAAAGAGTAATATGCAGATTGACCATCACTCCAACACACAAGATGGCTGTCCCATGTGGTCAAAGATCCTTCCCCAATTTGGACACAAGATGGCCACCACAAGATGGCCAGCAGGGGAGGGCTTTTGGGAGGGACCAGGCCTATAAGGGAGGGCAGTTGAGGGTGATCAAGTCTGTAGGGGAGGGCAGTTAGGTGCGACCAGGCTGGCAGAGGAGGGAAGTTGGGGGGGACCAGGCCTGCAGGGGATGGCAGGGGCAAACAGGCTGGCAGGGGTGCAGTCAGACATCAATCAGACTGGCAGGGCAGTGGTTAGGAGGTGATCAGGCTGTCAGGCAGAAGTAATAAGGTGCAATCAGGAAGGCAGGCAGAAGAGCAGTTGAGAGCCAGCAGTCCTGGATTGTGAGAGGGATGTCCAACTGCCCTTTTAGGCTGAATCCCAGTGGTGGGATCAGACTTAAATGGGCAGTTGAACATCCCTTGAGGGGTCCCAGATTGGAGAGGGTGCAGGATGGGCTGAGGTTTCCCCCCCCCCCCCCCAAACTCCCATGCAAGAATTTCATGCACCGGGCCTTTAGTAAATTGTACACCTAAACTTTCACATTCCTGCAGATTGTTAGTGACAACATTCCCCCAATTGGAACAGACTATCCCATGTGAACAGTGCAAGATATTTTTGAATTCATTATAGACCTCTGGCCCTAGGACAATTTACAGGATTTCTCTCCAGATCACATCTCCTTGGTTACCTTCATAGTACTCTTATATCCCTAAAATGGTCCCCCTAAATTGGTCACCATCTTGTAATCCAGTGATTGCCAACATTTCAGATCTCATGGACCACCAGTGGTCCGCAGACCACCGGTTGTCAACCACTGCAGTAGACCTGTGGTCTGCAAACTGCGGCTCATGAGCCACATGTGGCTCTTTGGCCCCTTAAGTGTGGCTCTTCCACAAAATACCATGGTCTGGGTGAGTCTATTTTGAAGAAGTGGCGTTAAAAGAAATTTAAGTTTAATAAATTTGGCTCTCAAAAGAAATTTCAATCATTGTACTATTGATATTTGGCTCTGTTGACTAATGAGTTTGCCGACCACTGCCCTAGACTATCTTTCAGCCAAAGAGGGAGGGGTTTGTTTAATTGCTAACACCCCTGTTGTTTTTATCTAAACTCTACAGATCAAAGAGAGGAAAGATCACACACATTCTACAAAATATTCAATGGCTCAGGGAAATCAGTTAGGAAAGCATAGTCAGTATGGTCTAGTCTATAAGCAGCTCTGCCCAAATTAACCTGGCTTTTATCCCTTTTGTTCCCCCTAACACCATTTCTCCTCCTTGGGCCCTGCATTTTAAAATTAGTTACCAAGTTTATACAATCAAAATTACAAGTTCTAATTAACCAGACAGTGGTACAGTTTTCCTTACCCAGGTAAAGGGACCCTACAGGCCTATATCCCAGGAAATAATCTGAATTTACTCCTTAGGCATCCACGACACCTCCTCCCATGCAAGAAGCAGACAAAGAGAAATGGCGACCCATCCCCCTTCTTTTCCTTTATATGTACCCATTACAAAGGGAATGAAAGGGTTAATCAAGAAATAGGGCTCTAACTTAGCAGAAACTAAGTTTGTTCTGCAAGCCTAAGCTTTGCAAAAACAGCCCAGATACGTGCAATCTCCCAAAACATCTAAAAAACCTTCCTCCCCCATTCGGGGCTGACTTCTCTCTTGAATTCAACCCATCTGCACCCAGACACCTTAAATAAATATCATTTTGACTACATTAAGCATTGAGTCGGTTCTGTGAAAATTTGGCCCAACTCGGAACCCTTCAGTGTTATATTAGGCTACTTCAAAGCATAAGAAGACAGTCATAATATAAAAATAAAGGGCCCTAGAACATCAGCCTGCAGGCCCCAAGTTTGATTCTGGGCACATACCCGGGTTGCAGGCTGGATTCCCAGTAGGGAAAGTGCAGGGGGCAGACAAAAAATGATTCTCTCTCATCATTAATGTTTCTTGCTCTCTTCCTCTTTGAAATCAATAAAAATATATTTAAAATAAAAATAAAGGAATAAAGCTGACTGTGAAATAAAATGTACAGTATGGCTCAGTTTTGCTATAAAACATGCATAAAAAATAAGAATAGAGGATATATACCTCAATTTATAATGATGGTCACCTGCGAGTGATAGAAATTGGGTTGATATTAATTTTGCTTATTTACAAGTCTTAATTTTTCTACAACAAACATTAGTTTTATATTAGAAAAACAACATTAGTTTTATATTAGAAAAACAACATTGTATGCCTAAGTGACCGTCAGACCATTCAACTGTCCTACCGGTAGGTATGATGCGCAATGACCACCAGGGGGCAGATGTTTAACGCAGGAGCTACCAAGCTGCAGTGACTTGGCAGCTGCAGTTCTTGGATGACACACTGGGAACCAGAGAAGAGGGAGTCCAATTCCAAGATGTGTCACCCGAGAACCACCTTCTCCCAATCCAGGACCCCCTAAGGGGATGTCAGAGACCTGATTTCAGTCTGACCCCCACAGGCCAGGCCAAGGGACCCCACCTATGCATAAATTCATGCATTCGGCCTCTAGTCTGAAAATAAAACACCCAAGTCTACCATTTCTTTATCTGTGACTCCGTACTATCAGGTAAACTGTGTGATAAAGGTAGGAGTCGTTTCGGCTGTTGGCTTAGTTGGTTTAATCCTCCTACGTACTATATGACTCGAAAAGACCTCAATACTATCCCCCGTTCTCTATTCTTTCTTTCTGTCTTTTCTGCTCCTTCTTCTCATGTCTCCTCTTTCCTTCTTCTATCTTCCTCCTTCTCTTTCTCCTCCTCCTCTCCTCATCCCTCACTCTCCTCCTTCCTCTCCTCCTCCTCCTCCTCCTCCTCCTCCTCCTCCTCCTCCTCCCTCTCTTTCTCCTTCTCCTCCTCCTCCTCCTCCTCCTCCTCCGTCTTCTTCTTTTTTAATATATTTTATTGATTTTCCACAGAGAGGAAGGGAGAGAGATAGAGAGCTAGAAACGCCTAGAAACGCCGATGAGAGAGAAACATCGACCAGCCGCCTCCTGCACACCCCCCACCAGGGATGTGCCCGCAACCAAGGTACATGCCCTTGACCAGAATCGAACCTGGGACCTTCCAGTCCACAGACCGATGATCTATCCACTGAGCCAAACCGATTTCGGCGTGATCCCCCCTTCTTAAACTATGATTCTATCTTGTTCATGCCTTTGTTGCCATGGATTTTGCATGCTGTTCTAGTTATTAAATGGATGTCTGTCTTCTCTCCCAGATTTTAGTTCCCTGAGGACAGGGCTGTGCTTTATTAATCTGTGACCTTTAGGGGTTGGTGTAAAACCAGTGCTTAATACACATTTATGGGATGAATCATTTAAAGGGGAGATAAGTACCTCAAGTACTAAAGGATCAAAACTGCCACTGAGGTGGTAAACCCAGATGTGAAAGTTAACAGTGTTGCTGGTGCTGGAGGGTAATTTAAGAAATCTACTCTGTCATACTCTGATAGTGAGTTTCAACGGAGTCCCTGGAGCAATAGTGCATCATTGAAACAAATAGGGAAGTTAGTTTTGTAGAGAAAAATAAAGATTCCTTTTCAGATAGACACGTTCTGAGGTGACAGGGGAGAACTTAAGACCAATCAAAGGGGTGCTTGAAGCAGCTGAGTGAGCTGTTGCATGAAAGGAAGTATGTGTGAGGGAGAAACAAAGGCAGGTGGGCTGGGTGGAGGGCAGCTGACATTAGCATGGGGGTGGAAGTGCACCAAGGAGAGAAGGTGGCCATTGTGACAGAGACAGGAAGAGAAGCAGCAGTACAAGGCAGAGCCACACAAGGCTGCCCAGAAGCAGAAAGAAAAAATCACATGGCCAGATACTGCTGCAGAGAACCCTAGGTGGACAGAGAATGGGGGTCAGATTTGGCTGTTAGAAGTCACTGGTCACATCAGTCCTTTCCCCTGGAGCTAGGCTTAGTGAGAGTGCCCCCAGTGCCCAGGACAGTGATATCAACAGAGGAGGGGGAGAGGAAAGAGGGGGAGCACTTACAGAAATGCACAGGGAGTCCTTCCTGCTTGTCTGTGTTGTCCACCTGCATTCAGTTGAAGCCTTTTAATGTGGTGGCAGAAAGTGAAAAAGAAACTGAACAGCAAGAGCTCCATGTCAGTTTGGACACATATCCTTATATCATGAAAAGTGAAAATATTTTTCATAAAGTTTTCATCCCGAATCTCATAAAAACAGTGCAGCAAATGCCAAGAATATGGGTCTAGGTTCAGATGCTTCTCAAGGACCTCACTCTTGGCCAACTGCAGCAGATAGGAATGCCGCTCCCGAGACAGGCTGCATTTGAAGATGCTCTCCATCTCTCTCATCCCCTGATCACTCAGAAGGCCAAACAGGAAACATGTGGTTGGTTCCCCAAAAAGGTCATCCTTGTCATATACATCTGTCAAGTCTGTTATAATTTTGATGTTATTAAAGCAATCACTTTTCAGCACTCTATCACCTAACGCATAGAACATTGCTGCAAAGAACTCCTGGAAGCACAGATGAATGAAGCTGTAGCTCCGAGGGGTGGAGTGCTCTTGAAGAACACCCGTGTTTAAGAGAGTAGAGATGTTGGCCTCATCTAACTCATGTTTCCTGAAGTCCTCTGGGTTGAATAGAGTGTTTCCTTGCCATATGCCTTCAGCAGCCAAAGAGCAGAGGCCCCTCAGTTTAGTCCCAAGGGACTGAGCCTGGAGAACGTGGAAAAAGTAGTGCAGACAGAGGGCTGTGGTGGTCTGGGAGGTCAGTGAGAGTGGTTTCTCCTGCTCCATCTGCTGCTTTAGGCAAGTGCAGACCAGCCAGGACACCAAGGGCATGAGACACATGGTCAAGAGAGCCGGGTTGGATTCAACCAAGGTGAAGGCTTTAATTGCTTGGCTCTGATCTGTGAAATATTGGAAGAAATACTCCTTCCTGGCTGACTCAGAGAATCCTAGGACCTCCACCCAGCAAGGATGCTTTAAGGAAGTTTTGAGCCTCTGCAGAGCTGTGCTCCGAGCTGTGATAAGCAGGGAAGCCTTGGGAAGTATGATTTTCTTCAGCAAACTGCCCAGCAGTGTGTGAACCTGCTGCTGCTGGTTCCAGTGTGGACAGAGCTCAGAACTCTGCTCCTTCAAGTCCCATTTTGGTTCACCTAAGTTATCAAGAATGAAGAGCAGCTGCTCTGGCTGAGATAGGATCTGCCCAATGGGAGGAGCATCAGGAGCAGTCCAATCTTTTGTGATGAACTCAGCAAAACTCATTGTCTTGGACTGGGCCAGCTCTCTGCAGTTGAAGTAGAAGACATGCTTGAAGTGGTCCCTGAAGAGCCAGCCTTCCTCCCAGGCTCTCCTCACCTGCCTGGCCAGGGTTGACTTACCGATTCCAGCAGCCCCATGTACCACGACAGTGGGAGGCTCCTCCTGGGTACTCAGGCCTGGGCCAAATAAGTCTCCAATCTCCATCAAATGTCCTTGTTCATCTATCACCTCGTGATTCCTTCTTCTCCTGAGCAGAAAGTCATGTCCTCTGGGTTGAGATCTGCGTAGAAGTAGCAGCTGTGTGAATTTTTGGGGCAAATATTCATTTCTCCATGACTGAGTGGGGCAGGAACTCTCTTTCCTTTGGTTCTGGTATTTTTCTTTGATTCCTATAGAAAGGAGAGAAAGATGAAACATTTGTTTAATTGTTTCTCCATTTATTCCTCAATTGTTTTTTGAACTCACTTGAAGCTATACACTGCTGGTTGATGATACGGTATATTCTTTTCAGATCATAGAGAAAATATGGGTTTTGGGGGGAAGATCCCTGCTCAAGTTTTGACTTGAGCAAATCATTCTCATAGTGTAATGTTTCTTCCTTCTTCAAATATTAATCATTGGCTAACACTGCCAGACACTGATTTAGTGGTTTGGGATAAAGAGTAAACAAACTGCCACAGCTGTTTGCTCTCATTATTTCTATGACCTGAGTTATTAGCCCCACTGAGCTTACAATTTTTTATTAATAAATTGTAAGTGGTCATGGTTGAGTGAAGAAGATAATGGATGGTGAAACAGAGACTATTGATTTCTGAAAGTACTCTCTTTGCACCCACTACTAAGTATATGCCAAGGATAATCTTCTACAATCACCTCAGGTTATTCATCTGAGGGCTCTCTCCAAGGCAATGAGTGTGACAGGCCAGAAGCCCCAGGGAATTAAAGCTCCAGGATGAGTGCTTAACCCCTGACAGAGGCAGTTCCCTGTCACCCAGCAGAAACATCTCTGACGTGTGTTCTCCACCATCTCCTGAAGATCCCTAGTACATTGAACCTCAGTTGCTCCACAAGGCAGGTTTCATTGGTTTCCTCCTTTTCTTTCAAATTCTCTTTCCTATTGGTGCTTCTAGGAAACCAGTTCCTGAATAAACCACCTGCTCTCTAATTTAGTGTCAGGGTCTGATTCTGTGGTAAGCCAGGTTATAATACAGATTCATATTATAATAAAATCATCAAAAATGAAAGACAATGAGAATATGAAATCAGCAAGAAAATGATTTATCACATACAAGGGGACTCCCTCAAAACTATGAGCAATTTTCAGCAGAAACTTCACAGTTCAGGAGACAGTAGATGATATATTCAAAATACTGAAAGAAAAATAATCAAGAATAATTTACTGAGCAAAGGTTCAGAAATGAAAGAGCTATAAAGGTATTCCCAGGTAAACAAAAGCTGAGGGAGGTCAACACCACTCGAGCTGACTCACAACAAATGCAAAAAGGCATTCTCTAAGGCAAGCTGAAATAAAGAATGCTACTTGGTAACATGAAAACACGTGAAAGAAAACATCTCGTTGGTAAAGGTAAATATATAGTCAAATTCAGAATATGCTGTACGGTAATGATGGTGTGAAATAACTCTAGTAGAGTGGTTAGAAGACAGAAGTATTGGCCAATGCTGTGGGGCTGGAGCTGGTGAAAGGGGCGTGGAAGCACTAGCACAGGACAGTAAAGTTGGCCTTACAAACTCTTCAGGGTATGCAATGGGTTATTGGATGCTGATCAGGCACCTGACTTTAGCATTGTAACAGCTTCAGAGACCATGTGAGAATGTGAGTGGAGTCAGCCCTATCGCTTTAGATAGTTCAGAGTTTATATGTTCCTTGTGTACAAGTGATTTCCCAGATTATAGTTCTCTGCCTATGCTTTTTCTTCTTGTCTGCCCCCTCCCCTAGTTTTTTTTAAATTTCACAATTATGTATCGATATTTAATTCTCAAAGTAATATGTATCTGTGTTCATTTGTGGACACTAGTACAAATGATTAAAGAAAACACCTGATCTTGGGGAAGAGTAGCTAATAACATTTAACTCACATAAACACACACAAATATACACACCCATCTATATGTATGTGTGTGTGTATATTGTATATATTTATGTATATATGTATGTATAAATTTTCTTTATGGGTGTTTCAATGTGTACAAAAATATGTGATTGGTAATAGACATAGAATGTTTATGAAGGAATTGCATTATTTTCTCTTTAATTTGAACTTCTTTATTTAACTATACAGTCTTGAGATGACACATTTCTACAGTTGAAGAAGGGGTTTTGATACCTCCTAACCTGCATGCTCAGTCTCTGGCTATTGTAATAAAAAATTTTATGACAAGACTATGCATGATTATCTTTGGTAAACTCTGACTCAATAATGAGATAGCAATGACTGAGCCATTACCGAATACTCTGTGCCTGAAGGGAGGAGTTTAAAACATTTATTAGTTATACTAGTGGCCCTATGCATGAATCTGTGCATGAGTGGCTTGCTACTGCTTGCCTCAGCTGGCCACCCAGCCCACCACCACTCCTAGCTCTCTCCTTCACTGTAGCTTGCTGCCCCGCCCTCCTGTAGCTCTCCACCCACTGCTGATTGGTCATTATGCAACATGGTTGAACGACCATTTGCATATTACCTCTTTATTATATAGAATGTGTTATTTTCTGTTGCAATATTTTAATTATATTGAAATAATAAATTTATTGAATGAAACTCCAAAAGGAAACAAGAACAAAAGTATTAAAAATAACTCATGCAAAACACACACACACACACACACACAACTCATGCAGATTAAAATAATTTGGTAATGGATACACAATATAAAAGATGAAAATTATGACAACAATGGGGGAGTAAAAGAGTAGAATTTTTACAAGTGATTGAAATTAAGTTGTTATGAGTTTGAATACACTGTAATAATTATGAGATATTTTGTGTACATCTCATGGTACATACAAAGACAACCCCCTAGCAGATACATAAGTGAGAAAGGAATCATAGCATACCACTATAGAAACTCATCAAATCACACAGCAAGAGAGGAAGAAAGAATAAAAGCAGTATATAACAGCTACAGAATCAATGGATAAATACTTCCCTATCAATAATTACTCTGAATAAAAAGCATTACCTTCTCTAATCACAAGATAGAGTAGCTGAATGAATAAAAAATAAAAACAAAGCACAATAAAACCCAAGACCTAACTATATTCTGCTTACAAGAGACTCTCTTTGCTTTTATTTATTTTTTCTTATTTATTTATTTATTTATTTATTTATTTATTTATTTTTATTTTAAATGTTCTTTTTAAAAAATATATTTTATTGATTTTTTACAGAGAGGAAGAGAGAGGGATAGAGAGTTAGAAATATCGATGAGAGAGAATCATCGACCAGCTGCCTCTTGCATACCCCCCACTGGGGATGTGCCCACAACCAAGGTGCATGCCCTTGACCGGAATCGAACCTGGGACCCTTCGGGCTGATGCTCCATCCACTGAGCCAAACCTGCTTTGGCGATTTTTTTCCTTTTTTATTAAGGTATTATATGTGTACATATCTTACCATTGTCCCCCCACTCCCGCATATGCCCTCACCCCCCAGAGTTTTGCGTCCATTGGTTCTGCTTAAATGCATGCATACAAGTCCTTCAGTTGATCTCTTATCTTTCGCATATCTCCCTAACCTTCCCGTTGTAATTTGACAGTCTGTTTGTTGCTTTACTGTCTATGTGTCTATCTTTTTGTTCATCAGTTTGTAATGTTCTTTATTATCCATAAATGAGTGAGTTCATGTGGTGTTTTTCTTTCATTGACTGGCTTATTTCACTCAGCATGATGTTCTCCAATTCCATCCAGGTTGCTGCAAATGATAAGAATTCCTTCTTTTTAATGGCAGCATAGTATTCTATTGTGTAGATGTACCATATTTTTCTGATCCAGTCATCTGCTGATGGGTACCTAGGCTGTTTCCAAATCTTAGCTATTATAAACTGTGCTGCTTTGAACATAGGGGGTGCATATATTCTTTCTGATTGGTGTTTCTAGTTTCTCAGGATGTATTTCTAGGAGTGGGATTACTAGGTCAAATGGGAGTTCCATTTTCAGTTTTTTGAGGATACTCCATACTGTTCTCCACAGTGGTTGCACCAGTCTGCATTCCCACCAGCTGTGCACGAGAGTTCCTTTTTCTCTGCATCATTGCCAACACTTGTCGTTTGTTGATTTGTTGATGATAGCCATTCTGACAGATGTGAGGTAGTAGCACATTGTCTTTTAGATTTGCATCTCTTGGATAATTAGTGACTTTGAGCATGTTTTCATGTGTCTCTTGGCTTTCCTTCTGTCTTCTTTTGAAAAGAATTTATTTAGGTCTGTTGCTCATTTTTTTTTTTTTTACTGGATCATTTATCTTAATTTTATTAAGTTGTATAAGCTGCCTGTAGATGTTGGAGATTAAACTTTTATCATTGATAACATTTGCAAATATGTTCTCCCATACAGTGGGCTTTCTTGTTGTTTTGTTGATGGTTTCTTTTGCTGTGCAAAAGCTTTTTATTTTGATGTAGTCCCATTTGTTTATTTTCTCTTTAGCTTCCATTGCGCTAGGGGCAGTATCAGTGAAGAAGTTCTTTTGGCATATGTCTGAGATTTTGCTGCTGTGGATTCCTCTAGTATTTTTATGGTTTCCCATCTTATGTTTAAATCCTGTATCCATTTTGAGTTTATTTTTGTGTATGGTGTAAGTTGGTGATCTAGTTTCATTCTTTTGCATGTATCTGTCTAATTTTCCCAACACCATTTATTGAAGAGACTGTGTTAACTCCACTGTATGTTCATGCCTCCTTTGTTAAATATTAATTGAGCATAGTGGTTTGGCTCGATATCCAGATTCTCTATTCTATTCCATTGATCTATATGTCTGTTCTTGTGCCAGTTCCATGCTATTTTGAGAACAGTGGCTTTGTAATACAGCTTGAAATCTGGTATTGAGATCCCTCCTACTTTATTCTTCTTTCTCAGGATTGCTGTGGTTATTCAGGTTCTTTTTTTTTTTATTTCAGATGAATTTTTGGAGAGTTCTTTCTAGGTCTGTGAAATATGCCATTGGTATTTTAATGGGCAGTGCATTGAACCTATAGATTGCTTTGGGTAGCATGGATTCTACCAATCCATGAACATGGTATGTTCTTCCATCTGTTTACATCTTCCTCTAACTCTTTTTTCAGTGTCCTGTAGTTTTCTACATATAGGTCTTTTACCTCCTTAGTTAAGTTTATCCCTAGCTATCTTAATGTTTTTGGTGTGATGGTAAATGGGATT